CTGTGTGGGGCGACGGGGGCCGACATTTTGCTGAGGTCAGACCCGAGAGTGGCTTCCAGTTGTTGGGTTGTGTGTTTGTAGAGTTCTTCATCCATGAAGTTGCAGTTTGGCAGCGTTGGATTACAACTAATTCACTGATGATGAGAGTTTGGTGGCGTAGAGCTTGTCGTGGCCATTGAATGTGCTTGTCGTTGAGTCTGCTCGCTGTGATATTCGCGATGGTGCGGTCAAGCCGTTGTTGGTTGTTGTTGGTTGTTGTCAGTTGTTCGGCAGGTGTGTCTAGATTGTCGATACCATTGCTGTGTTGGTTGATGGCAGTGAAGCAAGCAAGTAAGCAAATATTACTGACTAATTACGTGATTTGTGATGCTGCACATGTTTGACATTTGGTGCCGGAGTGGATGCCAACAAACAGCATCCCCAAACGGCCAGCATCACGGACAAAGAACGCCACAAACACGCCGCTCTAACTTGCAAGCACTTTCGGGTGTAGCGTCATACGTTAATTAATTAATCTCAACATGACACGACCACCGCCTCCCACGCCACCAGCTCAGCAACATCCCTAACACTGCAGCAAGATCACCAACACGACGAGATTCACAAGCGCCATCCACGTTCCCATCATCAAAACATATCAAATCAACACAGCCGAGACACAGCAGCATGCATAAAACAACATCCCATTTACGGCCAACATCACGGACGAAGAACTCCAAACAACCTCACGAAAAATCCATCGCGCCCACGCCTCCAACACTGTCAACTTGGCCAACGAGCATGGACAACATCCACGAACATCCAACACTCCACGGCGCGTGGACAAGACAAGGAAGAATGGGCAAACCGAACAACGCTACAAACAAACGTTTAGCAGCACCGGCAATACAGCGAACCAACCAACCAACAACACACAACACCTCTAGCGCCACCATCGCAACAAGATGATGCAACTCTGTGCAAGCACAAGCAACATCGTACTGGCTGTGCCGGAAAAAGCCGTGACACCAGTTCAGTCCCAGGTGCAGTCTTCGTTGTGGGTGCGTCCGTGTGTGTGTGTGTGTGTGTATGTGTATTTTGATATGGGTGTGGTTTGCGGCTCTAGATTAAAAAACAATTTTAAACAACGCTGAAGCGTCAGTCGTACTGGTGCTTGGAGTTTTGGTGGAATCGGTTGCATTGATGTGTGATTTATTGGTGTGTTGTGGGCTCGTCCTGCTGCTGGTGACAAAGTTATTGTGTTGCTAGTTCTGGCGGTGTTGGTCGTGTTAGTGATGTTGGAGATTTAGCTTGGACCACCCAAACCACGAACAAAACCACCGGGCCCAGCGGTGCCTGCCAAAGCATGACCAAGATACTCTCGAGAGGTATGCCAAGCTCACTCACCGTGAAGCCTCGCTCATCCTCGCTGGTTCTGGGTCGTGTGTCCGGCCTCTCGGCGCTCTCGATCATGGACGGGCCATGGAAGCCAAACCAGAGGGCTCCCCCCTAAGGGTCGGCCATGGAATTGCTTCCCCAAAGGGCGCTGCCAAGAAAGAGGTTCACACTAGCCGTCCCCAGGTCGCTGGAAGGCACTCCAACACGGTCAACCGCGAGGCACCCCCCACCCGATCTTCCCGCATCCGGTCGTCAGAACCGCAATGGAACCGCACACAGGGCCAGCTAAAAAGCTGCCTTTCGTGCCAGCCGCAGGAAGATCAGATGGCAAACGATGAGCATCCCTGGACACCACCTTCCGGCTATCGACCAACCGAACACCAACCACCACGGTTTTGCGATTTTCAGCCTGTTGTGTGCGTGCGTGTTAACAAGCGGTGCCAAGTAGGTCCGTCAGTCCCGTCCCAAGCACTGGGACCAGAAACCCCTTGATTCTGCTCATTTCATGCCAGACTTGAATCCTGCACATCTCGAAGTCTGAAGCCTGAATAATCTCCACGGCGTGACTCCACGGCTGCTCCAGCGAATTCCCTGTGCTTCCATTGGGCAGAGGGACGCAGCAGTGTTTTTTCACAAGGGGAATATTCTAAGTCTTGGTTTGTCGAACCCTGACAACCATAAACCTCCTGATGGAAAGGAGACTCAGATCGCTCGCTACGGGCCTTCGGAAGGGCGCCTCAAGGTTGCCGGTACGCGCTGCGCATCCGGAATTTTGCGCTTCTCCCCCATTCCCTGCTGTGCCTGGCTATGACGGACAATCGCAGCACGAGCGACCGTACTCTGCTGTATTCCGCAAACCTGATGTCCTTCAAGACTGCTGATGAGCATTTCTGTTCTCGATGAAATGCTACTCTCACTTCGACTGACAACAAGAAAGTCGAGTGGACCTACTGGCATCTCGAACCTGGCTCACACAAGCCAAATAGAAACATCATCTGAATCTGTCACCCTGAACAGCCTGGACCGAGATCTCTATTGCATTTACTAGTCAGGCTGGCTTTCTCAACCGAAGTGGCCTTCAGCAACGTGGTGCTGGAATATGATCCTCTTTCGCCAGAGCAGTCTCCGGAAGTGCAGACTGTTAGAGTAGGACAAACACACAAGCCGTGAGCCGGTGCCGGCAGGAAAAGCATTCCGACCATTGGTTTTCTCTTCTACACATCATGTGGGAAGCAACTGCACTACGTGCTTGATCATGTCGTTGCATGTTTCTTTGTTTGCACGTCTCGATGCTGCAGCATGACCAAGTCAAGTTGCTTGATGTCAACAAACAGCTCGGATGAGAAGCGACATCACATTCAGATACATTCAGCTCATCCTTGAAACTCTTGCATCCGTTGGTCGCATCAGGGAAGAAGATGCCACTGAGGCGCGAGTATGCAAGCGGGTATGCGCCAGTATGGCGCGGGTATGCGCGAGTAGCCCGACCAGCATAGCATCCTTAGCAGGGGATCCGCCGAGCCGCAGGAATTCATAGAAATGCCCGGACAAGTCCACAAGGACTGCCACAAGCAATCACAGGCGAAGCAACACATCCGCCGAGTCTGAGCGCTCCGCACATGCTTCCAAGGCCCTTTTCGGCGTCGCGACACCTCTGCCGCCTGGCGTATGTGAGGATAGTTTGTCTCAAATGCAGCTGCTGTGTGCGCTTGTGTCTGGAGCTCCCATTGCGTCATGAAAGTTGTTACAGTGGTACCATGTTGACAAATAGTACCCCCAACAAACGAACAAGCCACAAAATCTTCTACAATCTCGTCCGCTGTAGACCTCGATCCTGGGAAGTCTAGTGTCTTGCCATAGCCCATGCAAGCAAGAACTTGAGTATCAACAGCCGGCTGACCTTCCCTGTGAAAGAGAGATAGAGAGAAAAACAACAACAACAACAACAACAACAACAACAACAACAACAACAACAACAACAACAACAACAACAACAACAACCACCACAACCACAACAACAACAAGAACAGGAACAACACCAACACCAACTAACAAACCACCAACCTACCTACATCAACAACAACTACAACGACAGCAACAGCAACACCGTCACCACCCACAACAATCACCACAAGCACAACCAACCAACATACGTTTTTGGCACTCGCTCTTGACTCTACATACATATAGGTATCTGTGTACATACACACACCCACCTACATACCTACATTGACATATATTATCCATACATCAACGAAAATGATAATAACAATTCCACCACCACCACCAATAGCAGCACCAACAACAAATGCCAGGGTCCGGAACCCGAAAATGTAAACACAGGTCAAAGCTCAAAAACCCGAAGTCCCAAGATGCTGCGCACTTAACCCTCAATTCTAAGCCCTGAGCCCGACACTCCGAACCTACACTCTGTGAAAACTTCAACCACCATCTGAGCCTGCACTACATGCCGCCCGCACAACGCGAGGGATGGCCATGTGATGCCGAGGCACCCAGGGCCCTCAAGCTGAGAAAGAACAGCCAGCTGTGGAATCCCGGCTAGGAAATGCTTGACAACATGCATGCAAACTCGGTGAACTTGCAACCTCAACGCGAGTCTTGTACTCAGGAAGCCACGCGCAGTCGTAAGCTAAAAACCCTAATGCTACTCATGAGTCAGGAGCTTCCATGAGCCCACACGCATGCTGAATTTTTCACGGGGCCACAGGAAATGGCTCGAAGAGAGGTAAAAGCAAAAGAGCGTCTCTCCCTGGCAAAGCACACGAATGCAAGTCCTGCACCCGACGTCTGCAGCAGCAACAAGGCAAGGCTGGGAGCTGAAGCGGACTCCGACCCAACTCGTGTACACCAACAGCTGCGTTACACCGGCAATGTGAAATCCGAAAAAAAAACATCTCCAAAGCTATATGCAACAAAACAACTCGGGACTTTCTCCAGAAGACTTCCCTTCCCCACTCCGCCCCCACATCCCTCCGGCCCACTCCGAAGCGGTCAATGCGCCCGTGCGGTTCAAGCTCTTGTTTGTCAGCTACTTGCAGTAAATAACGAACAGCATGTTCGGGCTTCTGGTGTCAACACAACCTGAAGCTCGAAACCAGGTTGCTGGTCCTGGGCCGCTCTGTAAGCTGCAGGGGGCGCTGAACAAGAAACTCATGTCAAAGCTGTCGATACCCCTACTTAGAACCACTCTTGTCGGGCAAGCGAATCGAATCAGCTCGTAAATGAGTGCCGGCGTGAGGGACTTGGTCAAGCCACGAAAGCGACAAGAACGAGTTTAGTAGTACACGAACAGAACAGAACCCTGGAGCACGTGAAGTAAAATGGCAAATGCATGGTAAATGAGAGCAACTGACCGAACTATCGAAGCGGACTCGAGTGACGAAGGCAATGCCAAGTGAGCTCCAGCAAAGCCCTGCGTGATCTCGTGCCGTCGTGCGAAACCCAAGCCATCCCAACCATTCATATGATTCATTCTAGGATTCTAGGCCGATCGTTCATCCGCTGGATATTCTACCCAAGCTTTGATGAGTGCCCAAGGCTGGAGCAACTCATTTTCACTCGGTCATGCAGCTGAAGAGCTGGTGCACGGCCTCCACAATCATTTACCATGCATCCATGTCATCTGTATCAATCGGTGAAACCTCAGCACCGAGATCGCTTGCTATTCGATCCGAAACATCCCACGCACCTGAGACGTTTGGCACGGCCTCGCGCTGCATCTCTGAAACCCTGTGGACTAGCTCTTGGATGTTGGCATCAGGGAGTACTGCTGCAGCGGCACGTGGCACAAAGAAATCGACGCTCTCAGTTTGGAGTGGTTGGACGGAGGGGCTAGCCGGGGCAGTCCGGAAAGCTCCAGAAGCCCAACCACGCCGACGGCAAAGTGGCCGAGCTGCGGGTGAGGCGTTCCGAAGAGCACCCACTGGGTCGAGTCGCCCTGGACTCCTGCTGCTCGTAGTCTTTGCAAGTGCAGGGCCAGGGCCTGTCGGCCGAAAGTCCTGCAGGTCACTCTGTAGGAGCCCGTCAGCCTCCCTACCAACCTCCCTCCCAGGCGGTGCGCAGACTGTCAAGGCGGCTTCACAGTCCGCGATCTTCTGTTCTGTTTCGCGGAATCGTTCGCTTGTCACTGATCGCAGCTGTTGAACCTGCTCTATTAGCTGGTGCACGGCAGCATCCAGTTTGCTGTCCAGCCTCTCGATGGCCCTCTTCGGGTCAGCCTCGATCACTCCGATCATGCAACTTCTGCTTGTAGGGCCCTTTGCATCGAAGTCGAGCTGATTCATCTGCAGCCTACATGACACAGCAAAGACCTCTTTTTCAAGCTTCTCGAGACGAGCCGCGATGGCCACGTTGACTTCACTTTCGAGACTGCCCACTCGCAATGCAAGATCTCCAGCAATATTACATTGTTCAGTCAAGACAGGAGCCACCGCTTCTTGCCACTGCTTCTCCAAATCCTCGGGCTCGCCGGCATGGACATGCTGAGGGAGGACCACGCCTGCGGAAGGAGGAACCACGAGCACCAATATCAACTAATCAGGCTTACTGCGTGCCTCGGTGATGATGAGCAAGCCTTGGCAAAACGTCGCTTGGCATGACAAGGCTTGCAACAACAAATGTCAGGAACAGGAATGAGTTCGAAACAAAGTGTGAGCATCGTCTCGAGGGTCTTGTGTACCAAGCTGGCAGGCGGGTGTGGGACTGAAGGTGTCTCGGCATTGGTGGGAAGAAGAGCCCTTCGGCCGTTTGGTTGCGGTCTACCCTTCAGCACTGACGACGAAAATCTTTGAATGTCGGGTCTGCACTACAGAGGTCGCTATGCTAGCAGGCTGTGGCAAAAGCATAGCAGAATAGGCGGACTGGGAAAAGGCTACAATCGCTAGAATATGCTGCCCACTTTCTCCTCGGCCTGTGTGGGAGGGCTTGTCGTCTCCGATGTCCCAGATGTCCTTGTCAGCAGCAACTGCTAAGAGCTGAGCCGCATGAAGGGTTCGATGCGCAAAACTCGGGCTGAACATGAACTGAGGACCCTGCAGCAACGGGATGGACGTCTCACTCGGCACGTGGGGCCCGTCGATCATAGGCCATCGGCGGAGGCAAGCGTCCTTGTGATGCTGAGAGCCTACACATCTTGGCGGCAGGCAAGATCACGTGACAGCCGGCTCAGCTGGTTTAGAAATGTATCCTGCGGATGTACTTGGCTCGTGCAATGCATGCGAAAAGCATAAGGAAATTCTGTCGCAGATTACTTGGACAGGACGCTTACGATTCAAGTTCGTAAGACAGCATCACGACTGCACATGCCTAGTCCTTTGCAATCCTCCTCAGGCTCTACGTGGTTTTTTTCAACATGGTTGAATAGCGAGGGTGTGCAGTGTAGCTCCTAGCAGCTGGCACCAGAGGCTGACCACGTGGACTCTTGGCCTAGGGGCAAGTGTAAACCCATAGTCTGAGACCCGCAGAGACGAGAAGAATTACTTGCTGCACCAATCGTGGGAATATGTAAGGGCACATCACACGTAACAAGGGCTACATGCAATCCGACTACTGCATGGTCAAGAGATTTCTCGTCGGGCGCAGCTCCGGATGCCAAGAAGCCATTGCGCGCTGTGCAGAGCAGGCCATCTAGGTAGCTTCGAAACCACGATGCGCCCAGGTGGAAGTGGGTTTGGGAATCGTGTGGACGCAATATCAAGAAGATCTGGTGACACGGATGCAAGGCTCCCACTCCCAGTCACAAAACTGAACTCCACTTCAATGCGGCCCATCCCCTGCGCATCTGGCTTGAGTTGCTGGACTTAGGAGTGTACTTTGCTGTTGCTTTCGCTGTGCGATGGGTCCTGTCCTGTGCAGTGAGATCAGCATCACGTCGCGGTGTCCACGACTGAGAACTCCCCAAGCCCTCTCTTCATTGATGTTCTCGATCTCGAGTCACTGCGCAAAGGGCCGGTGCAGTATCGGGAGAATCACGGTCGCCCTTTCATTTGACAAACCATCGCAGTTTCGCCTAGCTGTTCTTTCTGAGCTTGTGTCAAAGAGTCGTCGGGCTCCAGCTGACTCTCTCTCAAGCAACGTGGCAAATACATACACGATGTCACGCCAATGCGATGCCCATCCTTGCCCGCTGCTTGCATTGAAGCTGCAAAAAAAGAGATGACACAACGTGCTGCCTCCCACGTGGCGTAGGCTGCATTTGCTTATCCCAGCTGCCCTTGCAATCTGCAAATTTCGCAACTTTGGTTGCGACTTCTCTGTGACTGACACACAAGACACCGTCGTCAGACATCGTCATCCTCATCTTTCACTGCAGTGGGGTTCAGGCGGTACACTGGCAGACCTGACCCAACTGTATGCGCTCCCACTCCACCATCTGCCAAAAGTCAAACGGGATGTTTGAGCTCCTGCTGCACTGCCGATCGAATCGAATCCTGCACATCCCGAATGCCCGAAGACGCCGATTTCACTCCCCCGACGAAACATCGCAGAATCATCGCTTCAACAGCAGCTGAGCAGCTGCAGGGCTGGCAGGAGTTCCGACCACGCTGACAAAGCTTGGGATATCCAGCCGGGGCCCACTCACAACCCAATGTAAACTAATCAAGACCGCAGTCGTTACGAGGCAATTGTGTAATTGCACAAGCTCTCCAATGCAGTCATTGGACCTCGGGTGGGAAGGATGACACGTGCTTCAGAAGCATCCAATACAACCACCAATGTCCAAAATTCGGAAGATGTGACTCTGCACACGGGGGTGTATGCGCGGCTGAATGGAGTTCCAAAGACTCTGCGCGATGAATTTCCACCTGCCCAACACACTGCAGCACATGACCCGGTCACAGAAGTTTTGATCTGAACATCAAACTGCTATCGCCTGAGGTGCGGCTGCAAATACAACGTTGTTTCTGACGTCTGCCAAACGCCTGCTCATCATGTTGTTGCATGGCCCTTCAAAGCCTGGAAAAGTGGGGGCAGTACACGTCCGGCCGTTTTGACGGTTAGAAGTCTGTTCAGCTGTGGGTTTCACTGCTGCACACTTTTCCATTATTGACACATGCCAGGCCTAACCGCCCAGCTGACATTGGCTGGCTGACACTGTGGGTTCTGTCGATGGGCCGTATCTCTTGAATGCTACATGCTACATTACTACATCATGCTCAAAACCTGGGGGTGCAGTTGGCAATCCTGACACCACGGGTAGCGCACTTTGCGTAACTGGCATGCGTTTACCCTGTGTTCCTTTGTTTCTTGCTTACTGGGGGAGGCAAGGGCTCAAACGGCTCAATGCCAACCGCCGAAGCACCTTCTCTTATGGCAATATTTCCAGCAATTCTCCCCAATGATTCCAATCATGCGTAGCCTACAAGGCTTCCGGCGTTGAGATTGCCCCTGAAATAGCAACACACAAGTACACACATTCTCTGTTCTGTTGGGGGCCAGTCTTCAGGCGCCTTTAGCTTAAAATGCGTTGAGAGATTGACTCTTTACACATGATCTTGACCACTTGCTGCTCGCTGCTGCACATACATGTGACGGGTTACCTCGTCACGCTCTGTGCCCTTTCGACCATTGCAGCGAATATGGAGGAGAAGTGCGCAACCTCGCACTGTAGTTCCAAGCATGTCCTGAGTCGGTTTCTGCAGTTTCGCAGCTCGTGCTCAAACAATCAAACTAAACAAGCTTGCCCAAAACTGGAAACTGTGAGCATGCACAACGCTCCAGAAGTCTTGGCCGGCGAGCTCGAGGACACCGACATGATCTTGACAGTTGTGCTTGATAAGGATCACGCACCATCGTCGCAAGACATCCGCGTTCGACGAAGCATTGAACCCGTATGCATTGCCGATATGGACCACGCTTTCACGGTATATAGATGTACTGTCTTGTAGCAGGTCCAAGAAGAAGAGCTGCTGTAGAACCGTCCACTTGACCTGTGCCACTGCAAAACCGAAGAGATGCCCAATGATGGCCTAAATCCCAAAGCACATGTAACAACATCCCAAAGGTTTCGTTTGCAAGGGTCCGTTTCGCTGCAGGAACAATGTTCGTTGCGAGCGATTCTGCGCAAATGCCGCGAACTCATGCTTCGCGGCGGCGGAGACATAGTATGGTTAAGGTTTGAGTCCTGTAAAATAGTCTCTGTTCTGTCGGGTAGGTGTATCGGGCACGAGGCGCTCTCGATGTGTGTGTTCAGAGGCTCCAGGCATAAGGCAGTTTTTCGTTGATCTGGCGACCGGAGGGCATTTGGGTAGATCCGCGTCAAAGGACCCGGCATGACACGATGGCGCCATCATTACCCCCTCCCGAGCATGCGACAGCTCGACTTGGATCAGCCGATCCCCTTGCATTTTCGTGTAGCAGGATGTAGGGATCTGGGGTCGGGGAGGCTTGGGCGCGCTCGTCGGGCCTGGGTTTTGCTTGAGCCGGCTCCAGCAATGAACCACGCACTGTCCTCCTCCCTCTTCCCCCTGCTGCTTCAACCCGGACACAACTTACAAAGCCACGAAAGAATGAGCAGATTGTCAGTTGCTGGGGCACATGCAGCTTAAATGCTGCCAGGGCCAGAAGCACTCGTCTGGGCTTACTTGCTCTATCTTGCTCTGCAAGCTTTCAGTATTCAGACTGGGTTGCTTGCATTTCGGGTTTGCAGCTGGTCTGCTAGCTGTCTTGCAAAGATCTGCCATGCTTACATAGCTTGTTGTATATGCTTGTATAGGCATGTTCCAGGATAGCACAGATGCCGAAGCTGCTGGGTCATAGTTCTGCAAGCGAAATGCAGCACAGTCGTGAAACTGGAGGTCGGCGGGGCAGCCCCATTTGATCCATGAACTGGTGGCGTCTGCAAAACATCACCCAGGAACCTGTCACATAACCAGACTCTGATTGTTTCAATGCAGTATGCCTTGACGTGAATCGCCGTCCGAATGATAAGCTTGTTCAGCTTGTTCTCGAGGCCACCGACAACTTCCACCGGGATGATGTCCCTCAGTTGAGTGCTGCTGCATGGATGCACGAACGTTCACGGCTCATTCCAATTAACTCATGTGCACGTTTTGTCCAGGACTCTCCCAAGCGCTGGCGACCTGCAAACGGCGGAGTCCGTGCTGAAAAAAACGATTCGAACCCCGTGCGCGTGCGCGCGCGTGCCGCAGGGGGGGCGGGCTGGCGGGTGGGCGCGCGGGTGTGGGTGCGGGTGCGGGTCTGGGTCTGTGTCTGCGTCTGTTTGTGTGCGTGAGTGCGTGGGTACTTGTGTGCGTGTGTGTGTTCCTTGCTTGTGCGGGTGTGCGCGTGGGTGAATCTGTGTTCGTGCATGTGCGCGGAAGCTCTGGCTTTTCCCCTTTTTTGCTTCAATGCAAGGGGACGTGGCATGAGATCAGGGACGTCCAACCAAGCACGTGCTCTCATGGAGCAGCTCTGTGTACCTGCTCCGGCCCCCGTCCTCGAAGAGTGACATCACTCATGCTCGCAGAAAGGCGGCAGGGGATCCACAAGGTGGTATCCGACAAGCACGTGGTTCAAACAAAGGAGGAGTCACGACCATGGTGCTGTTTTTGGAGGACTGCGATGGTTTGAGTGACGGGCAGTTTTTCGACTCGCGACCGAGGCGGCGACAGCGATCAACGAGTTCTTCCTACGCCTGATGTTTGGCTGCCGCCTCTGGAGGGCGGCCAAGCTGGGGAACTTCTTTTCAGGTTTCTACGGGGATACGAAGCATGCGCACCAAATTGCTTTTACGCAGTTCGTACGGCACATCGCTGTACTATACAGGACAGACACCGTGCCACAAGGAACCAGCAGGCCCTCAACCCGCTCCAGTTTGCCGGACAGGTCTACGAAGACTTTGTGGCGGGAGGTATATGCAGAGCGCATATGCTCAGTTCGTGGAAGCGGGATATGTCGCGCAGCCGGCGAGGTGAAAAATAGACAGTCGTCAGCCTCCCGACAAAATTGTCAAGCCCCACCCATGAGTGATCAGACAGCATCAGACACAACCCGAACAAGCCCTGATCTGCAAATCCCGGTCCTCGATATCTAACCCTGGTTCTCAAACGCCAACCGACTTGTGAAGCAAGTCTAGGGGGTCTAGGTATGTATATGTTTTATGTGTGTATATATATATACACACACACACTAGACAGAAAAGGTGATACTGAAGGATATTGACAGGTATAATTAATGCCAGGGGCTATGCATAATCGCAGACGTAGTGGCGTAGTGCTGACTCAACCTGGGATGCAGACTACCACGATCAGAACTATCAACACATAGGAACTAACTACTCCACCTTCTCTTGGCAACGACAAGCGGCGCAAATGCCGGGTTTTTCAGTTTTGTCTCGAAACACCCAGGATAGTCACTGGTGTAGCCCGTGATTAACGAGACTTTTGTTAATCCCCCGACCATTATGGGTAGGAGCTGCGTGTTCGTGGCCCCGTGCGGTTCGTGGCGGACACAAGGGCAGCCTAAGTAAGGCTTAAAGACATTCCCCTGTTCCCCGGTGCTTTTAAATGCGCAGTCGACTGCACGACAAGTTCAACATTCAGCACAACTGTGGCTGCTCAGTTGGTGCGCAAGCCCATACACCCTCACCCCTAGACCCTTCCCCCCCGATCTTTTTGAACCCAGGCTCAAATCCGTCATCGGCTGGGGCTCGCCAGCTAACAGAATTACTGCATGTCAGCAAACCACCTCGAAAAACTTCACCTCTGTGTTTTCAAAGTCGGAGAAGCTGACAAGAGCATTCCACAGTTTTCGCTGGTGGAAGACGCATCAGCTTCCCCCGATCTATTGTGGTAGGAGCTGCATGTTCGTGGTCCCCTTGCGGTTCGTGGTTGAGCTAGCTAGCGTGCAGCAGGGCAACACGGGCAGGTCGAAGCTAACAAATCGCGAGTAATAGCATCAAGGGCAGCTTAAAGACATTCATTCCATTCCCCTGTTCCCCGGTGCTTTTAAATGCGCAGTCGACTGCACAACGAGTTCAGGCTTAGCATTCAGCGATTCCCTGTATGATGCACAGTCTTGCCATCGGGGTTGCGACCAAAAGCTACTGTCGGTCGAATTTAACTCCTTCTCCCGTAAACATCGGAAACTGTCGTGCAGTAGCGAAGAGTTAGACTCAGGTGGATTAGCGGTACCTGCGACACCGGTTGTCAGAACATGTGGGAAAACATCGGCACGGACTGCCCCGGTTGGTAGCTTACAAATCCCTCACACCAACGTCTCCCTCAGGTTTTGTTCTTAGCTTTCTTGAAAGGGTTGATATACCAGTAGTGGCCAAGAGTCACCTTGAAACCATTGTTCGTGCGGCACGGGGTTGCAGGCCCCACCCCCGACATGGGGGCGTAAAAGTTAGCACACAGCAATCCAGGGCAGGAGTTATCCATCGCAATTGGAAGTTGTAGCGAGTGCGGCTATGGTACGTTGTGCCGTGCACAAGCGCGGAAAATGTATCAAGTTTCCCTTGCCACTCGCTGTTTCACTGGGCCTTGGGAGCTTTATCGCAGCAGTCTCTTTCGAGTCACCTGTGCTCTACTGCTTTCATCACTCCGCCAGGGTGGTTCACTGTCGCCGCAATTGCCCAAGTCACGGTCTCGATCGAGCTAAAGTTCCCCACCCAACGGAGTTGAAGCCGATGCTCGCTGTCATCGCGACTTCAGAAGTGCACTCGACGACAACGAGGAACGTTCCCGCCCCCCGGCAGTGATGGCTTTGGTCCGAAGGCTGCCTTCCTCCCCTCCCTCGCCGAGTTATGGTGGTACGGCCTTTTGGAACGACTTCTCCCCTGCTTGCTCTGGGTTCCTATTTCGGAGAAGCGGAGGCGGGGGGGTACGGAGCCAAGGGCCCCCCCCCGCCTCGGGGTTCGCCTCAAGACTGCGCCCGTTGCCCAGATAGGCACCTTGAGCCAAAATGGCTACTCACTCTCACTCTCTCTCTTTGCTTTGCTAGGGTTTTGTGTGACTGGCTCTGCTGTGCGAGTCTTTGGAGTGTTGGGTTCTTGACATTCAGGAGTACGGCTGTTGCACGGCTTTCAAACAACATGACAACATGGAGCACCATAAAACGTGCTAACCACGGCCAAAGTTGTGAGGCGATCCCTCTTTCTCTCTCTCTCTCTCTCCCCCTCCCTCAGGATCGTTCCACCAGAGGGCTCAGCTATACAGGGAGCTCCGCTCCAACTACTTTCGCCAGCCACGACTTCGAGAATACACTTGGCGATCCCCTTTCTTTCTTTCTCCAGGCTTGAGGGCACGCCCCCGCTGGGGCAGCCTGTGCTGTTGGTGGTGTGCACGGTTTTACGTGCATTAAAGGTTCGAGCTCCCCGCGGGCTGAGCATGGTTGTTCAAGTCAGCAAGTATACAATACACGATCGCTCATGCCCCGCTGCTTGCCTCGTACTGCAGGTGTTCTGCTCAGGCGTGGTGTGTGCTTTGCAAGCTTGGTTTGCAGCGGCGGGTGCTGTCTACTGAGCTGGGCCCCGGTAGCAGACTGCGGCTTGACTAGAAGATGGTTAGTATGGGACCCCGCTCCGACTCGAAAGCCCAAAAGTTGGGTGGCCTCGCCCCGGCATGCCAGGAATACATTGAGTAGTCAGCTGGTAATTAGATTAGCCAGCGAGACCTCCCGCGGTTAGTGACACTGCCCTGTCAAAGGTGGCAACAATGCGATATCCCGAGTATGATGCACATCACAGTATACAGGGCCTCGCTACCTGGCACACAGTGGGATTGCCCTTCGTCTCTTCCACAACACAGCATAGCCATAGGATGTCACGGTATGGTGCAGATCACAGTACAAGGGCACAGCTACAGTTCCTACTTGCCCCTACTTGCCACGCCCCGGACTGAACTCAGGACTATGGATGCTGGGGTCCGTGGTAGTATAAGGACACCTAGGAGACTAGTCACTTTTGTCTGGGGAACTGTACGATTGGCTTGTCGGTGGGACTGCTGCTCACTCTTCGTCGGCTCACTGGAACTTGGTGCTCTTCCAGCGCCTCGCCCTCTGCCTCTACCCACTCCGCTTCTTGTTGGTCGGCTTCCGTTGGCACGGCCCCTGTGTGGTGCTCGTGGCATCCGTAGAGTGAGATCTCCTCCTGGTCGTCGTGGAACTCATCGCTCCATCACTAGGGCTGCCCCGTTCTTCTTGCTGCTTGGCTTCGCTGCTGTCTGCCTGTGTCGGCATCGTTCGGTTCTGTCCCGCGCAAACGCTCCGCAGGGGTATGCGCCACCGCACCGGCGCGTCTTCCAACAAAACCGTCTCAGCTTCGTCTTCTGTGGCGTGGTGGTCTTCCTCCTGTTGGGCCATCTGCTGCTCGAAGTCCTTCTGTGCCTTGAGGTCGGTCAGGGCCTGGCGTTCCTCCTCGCCGGGGTCATCGGCCGGTGGCTTTGTCGCCCCGGTAGTCGGCCATTCCTCTGCAGGCTCGGCAGTGTCCTGGCTCTCCACGTAGACCGCGTCGCCCCCATGAAGCCAGGCGTGCACGGCTGCCAGGGCTCTACCCGCTACTTCATAGACTTCTCCACTCAAGAAGCCCCTCACATTCTGCAGGTTGGCTATGGTTCAGGGACTGTGAGGTGCTGCAGCAGGTAGGGTTTTTCGCTCTCTTCAACCTGAACTTGTAGTCCGACCACGTCGGCAGGATGAACTCCCCGCGGTTCTGGTGCGCGCCCCCCTGCAACAGATGCCAGCCGCGCTCCGGTGGCCAGGTTGCTTCGGTGCGCTTGGAGTCCCGGCAGGCCCAGGGCGTCTACGCAGCTATATGCACTGTTGATTAGGTGATGTATGCCCCGTGCTGCAGCTAGCTGTGCGCTACTCATACCTGGGTTGCACGCCCCGGGGTTGGTGTCCATGGCGGTCGTGGCTAGGTGTAGCGCCTGTGCTAGCTGCTGCAAGACCACCTCCCTTGAAAGTGGCTCTGCTGGCTGTACTATGGCTAGGGAGTGGAGCTGGATGGCAGCCTCACGGAATAGGGTATAACGGTATAAGGTGTCCTGGCTCGTTTCGTAGGTGACGCCCCCTCTCTCTCTCACTCTCTCACTCTCTCAGTCTCTCACTCTCTCACTCGCGTGTTCGTGCTTCTGCGCCTTCTCAACCTCGCGAACTTCGGCGAGACCTTGCTCGGCGCTCAGCTCTCTTGCGAAAGCTTAGCAGGCAGTTGAGGCTTCGACTGCTTGCTGCACGGAGCTGCTTCCGAAGCTGCTCGGCACACCAGTCATCCTGAGTAACGACGTGGCATTGGCTTTAAGCTGTCGATGCAGGTCATCCTTGGGCTTGTGCTGGTGGCCACTCGGTGAGGCCCACAGGCGATTCTGCAGGCTCAAATGGCATGAGTCAGGTTTTATCGCAAACACGAATGTTACGTTGCTGTAACTTTGGAGGCTCCTGAATGGGCTTTCAGAGCAGCAAGCGCAACCTCCGCTGCTGGCAACTCGCACTAAGCGGAAAAAACCTTAATTGGTATTGCGGTCCTCCTCAGAAATCGGTGCCTCTCGACACTTTCGCCTGAGGCGACCTAGGCCAAGAAACTTCACCGCATTTCCATTGCCGGAACAACCGCACACATCAAGCAGTCATAGGCCATAGCCTGCCGGGAAAGCAGGCAACAAAAACCGTTTCAAGAGAACCGAGCAGCTGGCGCACTAAAGCTTCATTCTCCTCGGGGGGCAATGACCTGATGCGACGTGATGCTTCGCAACGCTGGATTCTTAAACCGAGGTTAAATGATTTACCGACTTACCACCTACATTTAGGATCATTTAGGCATACAGCTCACACGAAAACTCACACATATGCAAACGAACAACTATCCCGAAAGCAAGCAGGGCAGTGTTTGTGTGGCATGTGTATTTGACAGCGTGTTTCGGTAATAGATTGTTATTCAAACAATGCGTTGTGTAAGTGTAAGCAGGCAAATGTCTAAGCATTTTATACGCGTGTCGCGCAAGCATGTGTAGTGCACGCATGCAACGTCTTTTGCAAAAAACTTTTGCAAAGCTTTCGGGAAAAAGGCACGCAGGGCAATGTTTGTCCGGCATGTAAATTTGGCAGGGCGTTTCGCCAATTGGACTTATTAGCTTCACAGCCCGGGGTAGGTTTAGCATGGTTTACATGGATGGCGCGTGTGTATGTACATGTACATGTAAACGTGTGTGTGTATATGTATACAGTTATAAATGTAGATATGTATATTATATGTATATGTATATGCATATGTGTATATGTATATATGTATACATATATATATATATATATATATATATGTATATATATATATATATATATGTCACAGTGCAGCCACATGCCCAGAAGTGAAAGACCCTAACGCAGCACGCTCTCAAAGGAACTTTTTAACCCACACGCCGAGAACCGAGAAGTGGCAGATCAGATCAAAATTCCGAGGGACCCGGGTCCGGAAACCAGTCGGAAAATACGCCGGCCCCCTCCAACGGATTGATCCAAGGGGAGTTTCACAACCCCCAATCCGGTCCGAGATTCCGCGGACAGGAAGCCACGAGCCCCGAGAGTCCGCGAGGAGCAGAGCTCCCAATTTCAAAAAGGTCAGGGAACCCCGCGGTAATCAGCGCCTGAGGCAACTGTACTCACCGGGTCCCTGCCAGTAGAGAAAACCCCGGGTACCAGAGGCAACCCGTGGTCAAGCTGGACCAGACTTGAGAGTAAGAAGCTTATCGAGGATCATCCAGGATGGGGTCCAAGCTTCTGAAACATCCTTCCTACGTTCAGGGGAGAACCCCTCAAAATTAAAATGTGTGAGCTGATCTGTCCACGTTTTGGAGCACCTTTTGACATGGGTGACATGGGCAAAGACACCTCTATGGAACTCCTGGGCCGCCAGTTCCATGAGTAAGGCACAGCAAGGCCACTTCTTAGAAGATCGCTTGCTGGCAGAATAAGCATTCCCTTCGTTGACGGTAGTGAGGGGAAGGTGTGCCTGAAGCATGCTCGGTCCGATGGTCTCAGCCACCAACAGGCCAGGGAACCTAAAAATTCCAAAGCTCCTATCCTACGTTTCGCAGAAGTGTGTGCCAGCAAAGCCTGGACCCAGGGAGTCGTCTTGGCGTCCAGGGAGAACCAGTAGACGTCGTTCTTCTCAGGGTTGGGAGTCACGGAGAACCAACCTCCCATGGCGATCCTGTGGTCATCTTCACCTGCATCGCTGCTCCCATGGCAAGGGGAGTTGAGCTGAAGTCGTAGGGGAACACAAGGACCCGCATCCAGGATGGAGAGGAGGAGGGTGGCCAGGAAACTGGAAACGTACAAGACTACTTGGGCATTTCCTTTCCAATTTCTGTTCCCAAGCGTAAAGAGGCTGGAGGTGTGGGCTCACCTGTGGGTAAGCTTTGGCAACCCACTGGAGTTTGCCAAGCAGTGAGGTGATCTCGTTCCGGACATGTAGTTCACCTTCCTGAAGCTTTTGAAGCGCCAGCCTGATGGTCGACATCTTGTCCTCCGGGAGCCACACGGAACCCTTGGAGATGTCAACCATGTAGCCAAGCCACCGGTCCTGTCTGCCCAAGACATTCTTGTGCCAAGAGATTGGGCAGCCCACAAGGGTGAGGAAGAGCATGAGCGTGGCCGCGCCAAGGTCCCCGAACTCTTCCTTCGTGAGCGCCATGAAGTCGTCGACGAAGACCAGGAGCCAGAGAAAGATGTCCGAGACGTGGTAGGACAGGCGGGTGAGGATGGCCGCCAGGCGGCCCCAGTAGAGCTGCGCCGATGCCACGCCATACGTGCCCACCTCCTTGTTGACCCAGTATCCCTTTTTGATCTTGGCCACCATGTACCTCCAATGCTTCTTAAGCACCTTGATTCTGCGGTGCGCCTTGCTGACATCCGACTTGAAGAGGGTGAGGCCTAAAGCCCGCAGGTGGAGCTTGGCGACGAGGAGATCATAAAGCGTAGGGGCAGTTGTCTTCTTGTCCGTGTTGGCTCTGATGTTGTCATTGACCCCAATGATGGTGGCATCGAAGATGGTCCTGATCTTGTCCAGTTCCTGGATGCCCGCTATGGCCCCAAGACAAAGTTCTGTCATGGAACAGCCGCAAAGGTCTGCTGCTTCCTGTTCCGTGAGGGGGCCTTCCACCATGTCCAGGAGTTTCTCCTCCAAGAAGGTGGCCTTGATGGTGTCCTCGAACACCTCCGCGCTCGGGTAGTTCTCCGCAGTGGAAGGTGCCGGTGGCTCCAGGTCACTCGGCACATTGCACAGTTCCTGTTTGGAGGGCCAAATGTCCGGGTCAGACAGCGTGGGGCCATCTACCCCCAGTGGCACGCCTTCGTGCAAGTGCTTGACCGAAGGACGCCAGCAAACTTTGGCGACACTAAACCACACAAATCGGCTTCTTCTTGGTGGGCCACCTCTCAGTGCAAGGACTTCGCTGGCCTCTGTACATTGCTGGACACTGTGCTCGGAAGCCAACTTCGGTTCTCCAACCTCGGTTTTCAGGTGAAGGAGTTGAGCCATCCATCCTGGTGGTCCAGCAGTGACCTGGCCAGACGGGGTGTTCAACCTTGAGTTGGCTTCCGGACAACCCCTTCACACCAGGTCTGACACCCTCAAGCTCACCAAGGACACCTTGGCGTTCACTGCTTGGCAGACTAAGGTTGCGGAGCCAGGAGATGCGGGCCGCCCTCAACCCTTGATAGCCCCACTCTTTTCCTTCTCCAAGGCGGAATGGTGGGCGCCCATGCTGGCTTTCACCAAGAAGAGAAACTCCCTGGCGACTCCTGGCTTACCTGCTCCCAGTGCAGGACCGTAGCCGCCTGGATTTTGTTCGTGTTTTCTGCAACAATTCCAGAGGCCCGGCCTGGACAACGATGTGGTCAAGCGCATGACCCTCTCTTCTTTCAGGGTCTTCATGCCCAACCTGGCCTTTCAGGTTGGCGTCCCCACAAAACAGCGCAGATACCTTGGACGCTGGCAGGGAGACAGCATGGTCACGGTCATGTGGAAGGAGGTAACCAAGCCAAACACGGAGAAGGAGAACGACCTCAAGTACGTCCCGAGGACCTGGACGCCCCCTACTACAAGCTGGTGACCCGGACCACCCTTCTGTGCACGACGGCGAGCTTCCGCTTGCCCCCGACCAAGGAAGGAGTTGACGGGCCTTCATGGCTACGAATGCCTGCAAGACGGGCTCTCCGCCGGTCTTCTCGGTCCACTGGTTCGACAGGGCCTACAGGTGCCTGGGATGTGGCGACCGAAGGACTCCAAGAGCTTGGTCACCTTGTTGGACCTGGACTGGACCCCGGAATATGTCTTCTGCGCGAAGGCCGCCAGAGCGAAGACGCCTCCAGACTGCTTTCTGGCGGATGATCGGGCTCCTGGACAACGAGCCGCAAGTTCCGCCTGATTTTCACGGCCATAAGAGAGCTAGCTGTCTCAATGCTGATATTCTGTTGGACTCTCTGTTTGCGACTGTTATTGATGTGGAACCCACATACATGTATGTGGATGGCTGCCGGTAAAGTTCAACAGAATGAAAGGGGTGCGCCAATCCACAACGGACTTCATGCACACAGCATTCGTCCGTAGACATCGGGACCCAGGTGTACATTGCAGGATGAACATCGATCGGAGTTTTCGTCTTCCTCGAACGAAAGCTAAGCTGGCAACTTGGTTTTCACGTAACCCACCGAATCAGACGACATCGTGGTATGAATTTAGTGGCATCTTTGTGTTTGTCCGGGACTTCGTCTTACGAAGAAAGTTCTTGCCACTTCATCGATGTCTAGATCCAACTCTCTGATTCTCTTTCGTAGTTGGGTTGAGAAACGGCTTCTGATGCTGATCGGGTCCAAACAGTTGGTATCGTCCTTCGTTCAACAAGAGTCGAAATGAAAACTCTGAAAGCCCTTTGCTCCACTCGGGCTGAACTTCCTTCAACTGACGATCCCAAAACTTCTGGTCAGCATGAAGTGTAGGCTTTAGAGCCGAAGGTGCAGCTGTACTAGCAGGCGCCGAGGGCCACGACTTCCAACCGGAGGAAGACCAGCGTCGATCGTTCCTTTGGTTTCCCTGACTGTTGGACCGACGGCTATCGTTCTTGTTGTTCCAGTTCTTTTCGTGCCACTCGCTCATGCCTTCGCAGCAGAAGAGATCGGCGGGCGGATATGGCGGATATAACATGTATAACAGCTGAGGTTGCCACTGTTCCTGGTCAGCGACGAGTAGCCGATCAGGGCTAGTATCGGCTAGAACAATTAGAACCGATCAGGGTTCCGAACCGTTCAGGGCTCTCAATGCAGTAGGCACTCCTCCCGTAGACGGCACGTTGAACGAAAAGCCGTCAAGATACACACTTGCACAATCCCCTCTCTGATTTGACCTTAATTCCATTTCCGATCGACAAAGCGAAGATTTGTAGCCACTAGGCGGTTAAATAATTCAACGGTTGAAACCATGGGCCCCTAGTATGGGCCGGTAACCCTGAGATCCTTATATACCTACTAAATAAACTCTTCAGGGTCCCTAGAACTCCCACAAAAAGCCATACTTCTAACCTTAGAACAATGATTTCTTCCAGTGCCTCGGCTTAGCCTAGCTGCCATAAGACTGAAAAATGCAAGTACGCAGTGGCCCGTGACTTGGAAAAATTGGGCGAAACCAATCACTGGAGCCCTTGCCCCCCTTTATCTACAATGGTCTCGGCATTCCCTTAATCACTGGGTTCACACACACACACACACACACACACGCACTGGAGTGTTCAGATGTGTTGGAAACCGATAGCAGCGACCTTGATTGTCGTCTTGTCGTCGAAGGCTAGGGTCTCGGCCCTGTGACGATCCAGCTGCCCTCCTGGCGCCCAGGGACTGCCTACTCAGTCACATCGTGGTCCGGGGCTGGAGTCCTGGCCCGATAGGTGGCATGCCAGCTATACACGACGGCATCCATGCACTGCCCGCAGGTACGTTTGTACTGCATGTGGCTGGTGTCTTCGTTGATAGGAGACCAGCACACATGCACTCCCATTCCCTGCGTGTTTCCAGCAACATGTAAGCAACGCAACCCGCCTTCTCACTAGTGCAATTTCGGGAGTGGCCACACACACACATGTTTAAGCACCTGCTCACACGCACACGCCTTCTCACACACACACACACACACAACTGAAGAGATACGTGTTAAGCCCGCCTTGTCTCACATGACTGATGGGTTGTACGATCGTCCAATGCACATGACTGACATGTTCTCAATGCACTCATGACTGACATGTTTGCAATGCGCTCTTGAAAAAGTAGGATCTGACAGACATGCCAAATTTACAAGAAAGCTGAAACTTTGAGAGAAAACCTGAAAACCTGCCTGAGTGAAGGTCAGCGGCCGAAAGCCTTGTCTAATCTTGCTCGCTCAGGGGCCCCGGCTGTTTTTCTGCAGGTACACGACAGAACGTCCCCTGTCGCATCAGCATCTCTTAGCAGCCTCTTCGTTGGGCAAGCACTGCAAAGGATGTCCTGCCCCCCTGTAAGATAAAATCAGGAAAAAAACAAAAAACAAAAGAACAGCACACAACAACAAAAAATCAAAAAAAACAGAACCCTAAAGAAGTGATGCAGAACATGTCGCATGTACAGCAGGATCACACAAACATGCCCCATCGGGGCAGCAGTGCAACGTCGCTAGTCTTCTTTTGCGCATCGAAGCCGGCAATGTTCTTGGTAATCAGATACTCTCACAGCATCTTGCCCGTCTACTCATGAGGCCACGTGCGAATAGAATCAGCTGTTCACCGCGGACCGGCGCTTGCATCAAGTGATTAGATGACAGCGAAAAGGGAGAAGTTTTGGGAGACAGGCCCGATGAGGTGACGGAGAAAGTGGAACAACTACAGATGGACGCAGGAAAACAATGAACGAAAGAAGGACCAGGCGAAGATCAGGACTGCACCGGGTCCCAGAAAGTACCAGCAAACAACGTCTCTGACTATAGTCTCGAAGATGATCGTCGCATTGGTCGTAGCATAAAGATCAAGATCCAGGAGATCATTCCTGGGGAGTTTCGCGCCGTCTTCAGACCGATGCCGGAGACCGGCGCTTCCGTCAGTTGATTGGATGACAGCCAACAGGGAGACGTTTTGGAGACAGGCCCGATGAGGTGACGGAGAAAGTGAAACAACTCCAGATGGACGCAAGAAAACAATGAACGAAAGAAGGACCAAGCGAAGATGAGGACTGCACTCTCAGATAATACCACCTACCAGCATCCCGACTGGTCTCGAATATGATCGTCACATCTGCCGCCGCCGAATAGAATCAGCCGTTCGCCGCGGACCCACGCTTCCATCAACTGATTAGATGTTAGTGAAAAAAAAGACGTTTTGGGAGACAGGCCCGATGGTGACGGAGAAAGTGGTACAAAACTGCAAATGGACGCAAGAAAAAATGAACGAAAGAAGGACCAGTCGAAGATGAGGACTGCACAAGGTCCCAGAAAGTACCAGCAAACAACGTCTCTGACTATAGTCTCGAAGATGATCGTCGCATTGGTCGTAGAATAAAGATCAAGCTCCAGGAGATCATTCCTGGGGAGTTTCGCACCGTCTTCAGACCGATGCCGCAGACCGGCGCTTCCGTCAGTTGATTGAGTGACAGCGAACAGGGAGACGTTTTGGAGACAGGCCCGATGAGGTGACGGAGAAAGGGAAACAACTGCAGATGGACGCAAGAAAACAATGAAAGAAAGAAGGACCAAACGAAGATGAGGACTGCACTCTCAGATAATACCAGCGACCAGCATCCCGACTGCCTCGAATATGATCGTCACATCTGTCGCCGCCGAATAGAATCAGCTGTTCGCCGCGGACCGGCGCTTCCATCAAGTGATTAGAAGACAGCGAGAAGAGGGACGGAGAAAGTGGAACAACTACAAATGGACGCAAGAAAACAATGAACGAAAGAAGGACCAGGCGAAGATGAGGACTGCACCGGGTCCCAGAAAGTACCAGCAAACAACGTCTCTGACTATAGTTTCGAAGGTGATCGTCGCATTGGTCGTAGAATAAAGATCAAGCTCCAGGAGATCATTCCTGGGGAGTTTCGCACCGTCTTCAGACCGATGCCGGAGACCGGCGCTTCCGTCAGTTGATTGGATGACAGCGAACAGCGAGACGTTTTGGAGACAGACCCGATGAGGTGACGGAGAAAGTAAAACAACTACACATGGACGCAGGAAAACAATGAACGAAAGAAGGACCAGGCGAAGACCAGGACTGCACTCTCCGGGTCCCAGAGAATGCCAGCAAACAACGTCTCTGACTATAGTCTCGAAGATGATCGTCGCATTGGTCGTAGCATAAAGATCAAGATCCAGGAGATCATTCCTGGGGAGTTTCGCGCCGTCTTCAGACCGATGCCGGAGACCGGCGCTTCCGTCAGTTGATTGGATGACAGTGAACAGGGAGACGTTTTGGAGACAGGCCCGATGAGGTGACGCAAGGAAACAATGAACGAAAGAAGGACCAGGCGAAGATCAGGACTGCACCGGGCCCCAGAAAGTACCAGCAAACAACGTCTCTAACTATGGTCTCGAAGATGATCGTCGCATTGGTCGTAGAATAAAAGATCAAGCTCCAGGAAATCATTCCTGGGGAGTTTCGCACCGTCTTCAGACCGATGCCGGAGACCGGCGCTTCCGTCAGTTGATTGAGTGACAGCGAACAGGGAGACGTTTTGGAGACAGGCCGTGACGGAGAAAGTGAAACACCTACAGATGGACGCAAGAAAACAATGAAAGAAAGAAGGACCAGGCGAAGATGAGGACTGCACTCTCAGATAATACCAGCGACCAGCATCCCGACTGGTCTCGAATATGATCGTCACATCTGTCGCCGCCGAATAGAATCAGCTGTTCGCCGCGGACCGGCGCTTCCATCAACTGGTTAGATGACAGCGAAAAGGGAGGGGTTTTGGGAGATAGGCCCGATGAGGTGACGGAGAAAGTGGAACAACTAACTACAAATGGATGCAAGAAAACAGTCAACGAAAGAAGGACCAGGCGAAAATGAGGATGATCTCCAGCGCAGCCTCCAAAGCGATCTCCAGAGGCTGATCCCCCGACTTGACTGTTGATTTCCACTGTGATTTCCACTTGAACATGTAATTACTCCTAAGTGCAACTCCGGACCTACGTACACGTAACAAACCCCGGTGGGCCGGCATATTTCGCCGAAAAACGACAAGGCCCTCATGAGGGAGCTCTTGCCGAACACAATTGAAGAGATGCGTGTTAAGCCCGCCTTGTCTCACATGACTGATGGGTTGTACGATCGTCCAATGCACATGGCTGACATGTTCTCAATGCACTCATGACTGACATGTTTGCAATGCGCTCATGAAAAAGCAGGATCTGACAGACATGCCAAATTTACAAGAAAGCTGAAACTTTGAGAGAAACCTTGAAAACCTGCCTGAGTGAAGGTCAGCGGCCAAAAGCATTTTCTAATCTTGCTGGCTCAGGGGCCCCAGCTGTTTTTCTGCAGGTACACGACAGAACGTCCCCTGTCGCATCAGCATCTCTTAGCAGCCTCGTCTTCGTTGGGCAAGCACTGCAAAGGATGTCCTGCCCCCCTGCGAGATAAAATCAGGAAAAAGCAAAAAACAAAAAACAGCAAACAGAAATACAAATTCAAAAAAGCCAGAACCCTAAAGAAGTGATGCAGAACATGTCGCATGTACAGCAGGATCACACGAACATAAATAGTCACTCACACTCACCCTGACAGAAACATTGGCACGTTGGCCCAATTCGCAGGTTGCAGAATTTTGCTTCGAGGACGCTGCTGTCCGAGCCAGAGGTACATGGCAAGGTCGCCACCCACGAGCTCCTGAAAGGGAAGGCCGGCTGGGTTGCTCAAAGAATTGCCAGCATAAAGGTTCTCGACTTCTGTGAGTGCGAGCTCTTCATCTCTGTAGAGCCCTTCGCCCCTCAGCGCAACTGCCCACCCACTTCTGCAGCGGGACACTGCATCCTTCCAATCATGACAGACAGTCGTGTCTCGGTTCGTCAGTCACCACATTTCATTGCGCCGTTTGCGCTTCATAACACCTTGACATGTGAAGCCTTCGGGGGAGCTAAGCAGAATTCTAGCTCTTCCCCTACAAGCCCTTCCAGGAAGTCAGGACCGAATTTGCGGCAACAACTTGCTAGCTCTTGCAATCTTAAAGCCATTTCCTGACCGATCCATATTATGATGAACAAGGCTCCTGCAGCTCACCCAAACGCTTTTCCCAAGCGCGAGCTGCGCATCGCGGCCTCCATTTCAGGAAGGTGTTTGTGCGGGGTTGTTTGGTCAGTTGAACATCCGACCTCGACTCCGCACCATGCTCGGGGAGTTGCTGAGCAGCTCTGCAAAACCCCCTGGCGTCGACATCGGAAGGAGATTTCGTGAACACCTGCAATACCGCCGGACTCTGCCTCCAAAGAAAACCTCAGACACACATGCCAAAAGCCTCGACCTGCGGAACCAAAGCGAGCCATGTGAGTTCGTGACTGAGATGGAGCATACTGGCAGCATCACCGTGAGCCTCACGCCAAGGCTGCGCTCTGGTATGCCAAGCTTGAATCCAAGGTCAAACCGGGGAGCTTGCATCTCGCATCACATGCTGCAGCCTAGGAGTCCCAACAGAATCTGCATTCATCCATCAATCTTCCTAAGCAACAAGGGTCTCCGAATTGTGGCTGGGTAGCACATACAGCTCCAAGCCGCTGCAAAGCCACCGATCTCGCCAAGAAACAGCACCTGGCGGCCACCCGGTGAACAGATGTAGAAGCCATTGCCGAAAAGAGCACCAGTCTGGGCTAAGCACAATCAGATACACCAAGCCACGCCTTCGAGGCTAAGCCAAACATGGCTGTTGCAGACCTATTCTGCTTCAATGAAATTTCGCCTCGAGCCCTGCAGGCCTTCACCAAGCACAGTTCCACAGCATACCACATTGCCTGCAAGAGTTTGTCGCACACAGGACTACTGCATACCCGCATCACTTCAGCATCGGTTACCCTTTCCCCACCTTTCCGGCTGAAAGCATGTACATAGGCAAGATCAAGAGCCTGGGTGCAGATGCTGACAAGTAATATAAACTGGAAGGGGAGGGCGAGCGTCACTGCAGGATAAACTGGAAAGCAATAGCAAGAGTTGCAGCCAAGGACCGGAGAACTCCCCGACCTGCTCGCGGACAGCTTGAATCGCACATACCGTGCAGTCGGTAGCCTCCTTGCGGGCAAACATGAGCAGGAAGCAACACGACCTGGCCGGACACATAAGCACGCAGAACTCGATGCCTGAAAGGTCCATGTTGGGGACTTGCGGATGTCTAGAGTAAACGGCGTGATACTGGAAGCCCACGGGTTGCAGGTTTTCAGCTTTACAGCATTTTACAGCCAGTTGACAACAGAAACGGCGAAACAGATGTCTATCCAGATTTTGACTAGCACAAAATGGGGGTCGTCTCAGCCTGCGACAAGAGAACACGATCCACTCAAGCGCCTGTGCTCACACCTATTCTTCGAGCATGTCGGCAAATAATCACCACGTTGTCGTGCTGGCTGGAGTGCGCCGTTCGACTCATGTTATCTCATGTTGCGTGCCATCGTCAAGAGTCCAAGAAACCTGACTTGCGAAGTGCGACATCAGCTGCCTGCAAGACTGGACCACCTGCATGTCCTGCTTTATCGTCCTTGCCGGAGTCTGCTGACACATGTTTTGGCTCCACACCGGCCACTTCCAAGGACCCTGCATCCTTGAACACGTGCATCAAGGCATCGTGGAGGGGCTGCAGCGAGTCTTCCTTCCCAGCAAGTGTGCCACAGGTTTGAATTCCTTCCTGCCATATCGAGACAAGCTGAGCCGGCGGCAATTTCCTGTGCAAGCATATCAGCAACCGTGTACATCCCACTTGCTGCATACTGAAGCGGCCTCTGCTGCTTTCTGAATGGAGCCCAGAGGCGTCCTTATTTGGGCAGTGCGGCATTCAGCCACGGCAGGCCGCAGCAACTTATGTCTGTCGATAATGATCGATAGAACGTGGGGAGTATTAGAACCGGTGCCCTTGGCCGACGGCGTGACAGGTTCCTTGCTGTGGCCTTCCGAACATCTCATGCTGTTCTTGTTGTCCTTGTGGCTTTATAGCTTGACCTCATGTTGTCCTTGCTTCTAGGCATGGTCTAATGTAGTAGTCGCGGCATGATCCCTGATCTGTCATGATTCCCGTCATGATCCAAGATGATCATACTGGTACCAGGAGGCCGCACAAGTAAACACGCCGAAAAACGTGGCCAGTTCAAGGAGCCCCTTTTTAATTTTGAAATACGTTCCGGTTTCCTGAGATCCCCTGCGCGTGGTCGCCTGGTTTGGTTGTATGTTCAGGTCTGTCCCATTTGGAAACTACTTGTTGTGCAAAGCTTTCTCTTGTTGCATTTCCAGACCCTGTCGCATCCTGTGCACATCCGTCTTCCAGCTTCTGCGAACAGGAACCCCGTGCAACCATCTGCAATCGCTGGTCATTCATAACCTGACAACAAGTTAACCTTTATTAACATCGCGATTCTAACCTCTTCATGTTTGAGCATCTTGGAAGCTGCAAAAACTGTAAACACTGTAAACTTAAAACACTGAAACGCTTCTATCCGAGGCCTGCTGGCTGCTGGCAGCTGAAACTAGGGCCCATACAAGCCGAAGAAAGTGGAGAACCTGCCTGGCAGTCTGACAGCTGTGCATGTAAACAGCAGCGTCTGCACCCACCTGATATCTGGCCAAAACTTCCGGCAATGAAGGTAAGAGAGCGTGCGGGCATTTTCCTAAGTGGCACACGGAACAGCGCTGGGGATTACCGCATCCTCTTAGCATGCTGCCAATCGAAGCGATAAGCGTACTCGAGGTGGCCGTTCATGCGCACAGGTGGCTCCTGTCATGGCAGGACAGAACAGCTGTCAATCCTTGCGTTGCAACCTACGGCTACGGCATCATCGGAATATTCAAGCTCACAAGCAGATCTTCCTCCTCAAGCCTTCCGCCAGCTGCAATGGCCATCATGTTCTCGGGAACCTAGAGCTGCGACAAAGTCTGAGATAGTCTGAGCGTAAAAAGATTGACACCAACGGAGCATGAACAGTTCTCAGGCACAACATCGCACAACCGTGTGCTCTGACTGACTTGGGGACACGCCCAAAGGCGCAGCAAGTAGCTGGAACGTACGGCCTGTTCATCCATGCCTGAGCGGCGTTTCAACATGTCCTCTGACCCGAACGAAGGAGAAAGCGTGATCAACAGGGATCAGAGCAACTCGGGCTGAGAAGTGTTTCTGCAGCATGATCTTGGAGTGCAGACATATACAAACCAAGGTACTCGACTCGTTATATGTGCCGCACAGGTGACATCGTGATTACACTGCATCGAGAATAGTACGAGGCCTTGATGTTGACTATTCTGCGTAAGAACCGAAAGTAATAAGCATCCACTCTAGCAGTTTGTCAGTTCGGGGAAGGGTGTCCAGGTCAAAAATTAGGGCAGGGATGAATACCGACTGAAAAGTTCTGAGTTTTGTTCGTCTCGGCAGAGAGCTGTTCCAGACTTAAGCGGAGTTTCTTGTATGCGGTTTCTGCTAGTGCCACTCTGTGTCTAAATGCTGCTTCAAAAGGTTACTGATCATGGTTCGTGTGCGGCATGTGCTGCAAGGCCTCTCTGTGAACTGATCCGCTACCAGTACCTTCCCACGAACCCTCATGACACCTTTTCAGCGAATGTCAATCTCAGAAACTGTTTCCTGCGAAGCTCTGCCAGTATGCTACTGACTTAGCAGCTTAGCAATTGTTACAGCTGCTACAGAGCATTAGGCACCATTCTTTTTCAAGACCTTGACAATGCTTTCTTTGTCGGACAATGGCCACTGCTTGGAGGATTGCCTGCCTAACAGCCGGAAGTGGAAGGTAAACAAGCTCTTCCCGAAAATTCCTCACTTCATGGTCCGCCAAAGTCGTGTTTCCAGGTACACAGACATGATGCTGACCTGCCAGCATCGCTAGACCACCATAGATGCTATGTCGTTGATTTCGGAGGTGGTCCCAACTCTCCATGCACACGACGAAGCGGGGAAGGTTCCCTGGCATGAGTTCCACCACCGCAGAACCTAGGAGCAGGACACATTCCAGAGAAGAACCACTCAGTCCCTCAACTCTTTTGCGCGGTCTCATGGAATGAAACCAATCCTATGTCCTATGGTAGTTTGGGCAGCCATGGCTGTGGGGAAAGAGGAGCAACCCACTGGACATGGTGGGGACATCGTCTCGCTGTCTGAGCAGGCTCAATAGCAGGCAGATGCAGCAGATTTACATGCTACCGAAACTTAGAGCGTCTGCGAAGAATGCTCAGTACATCCAAAAGTCCAAATGGGACCACCTTCAAACCTACCTTCCCAGCTGAATGACCAGTCTCCATAGCCACCATCCAAGCGAGACCAGCTCCATGGGCCCCAACGAGGACGCTTGTCTTGGTGTCAAAACTGTGTCAAACACTAACCGAATCAAAACTGACAATAGACGGGGCGGACACGAGCGCGTGCGCTTCTCGGGACGGCTACCGTTGCGCAGATGCTTTGCTCTTGCATTTTCTTTGCCGAACCCGGCTCCATCTCTCAAGATACGTCAAAGAACCCATGCATCCTGGACCTCCAGGAAAGCTCTTTCGGACGTTGCTAGGGACAGCACCAACATGGTTTGCAAGATTAGAGCAGGGGAGGCCTGTCGGCCCAAGTGAGCAGGACGACGGCGCATGCCGTTCTCCATCTCTTTGCTGCAACGGCCCACGTGATTCCAATCGACACACTGCCCCCTTCCCACGTGACTCCATCTACTTCTGAATCAAAGTTACTCGCTACCACTCGTTGGGACGGGAGACATGCTCCTATTCCAATACTGCTCCAACCACCGAAGCCGTCGCATTCTTGTTGTGCTTAAAGGATTCTGCGATACTCCTTTGGGTGTCTCGCGAGACTACTCCAGCATCTCGCTGATCTCTGAACTGCCCCAGGGTTCTCTGACGGCTTTCCGAGACTAGCCGACTCATCTATCCCCCGATTGTCTCCCGCCCTGCTGTACTATCTCCTAGACGCTAAGGGATAATTTTCACACAGCTCGAGCAAAAACAGTACTTGCAAGTTAAGGTGATCGAAAAGGTGAAGAAATATGTGGTTCAATATCATTTAATAGTATATATATATATATGATAATGCCCATCAGATTACGGATGAACCAATTGATATTATTTGTTTGGGTGATAATGGTTATATATTGTGAGGGAAATGTTTGGTATCGAGCTTCATAGGTGAAGTCCGAGTAGTGTAAACGTAATAACATGAAGATCTCGCAGGACATTCTCGCAGTGACGGCAGAAACACCCAAAGTAAGCGCGCGATGATTTGGGCTGTACTTGTTGGGATCCCAATGCATCACTCTTGCCTGATAAGACTGCTTTGGAACTTCGTGCCCGAGTTTAACTGAAGCATTGCGGCCTGTGCAACCAAGGAGAATTGCTCCAAGAGCGCATGCTTTTCCAGTTGCTGCCAGTCCGTGACAAAACCATGGCTGCGACGAAGGGCCCTGAGCATGTGGCCCAAGTTCACGATGTGACGTGGTTGCCCCTTCCCTCGCTGTATGATCAGCACACGCGGGAAGGATCCACTCTCCGTGTTGAGCTGTCTTCTGTCCATACCGACAGCAGTTTGCAAGGCCCTGCGAAACACTTCGACATCTTGGCGTGTGACCTGTGGGGTAACCAGATCATATCGGAAGGAGCGAAATCCAACCGAGGCTTCTGCAAAGCACGACATGTTCCCCTCGTGCGCGACGAAGCGCACGGGATTGCTCGACAACAGCTGTAGGATCACTCCATGAAAGGCAGCAAACCTTTCGGTGTCGCTGCCGGGCAGTTCGACTTCCCATCGCTGTCCATTTCTAGACCTGCTGTCAAACACAACCCCCACGTGTATCTTGGACGGGTCCCAGCCATGTTCTTGTTTGTGCACCAAGGCAGGTACCCACCAATGAAGTGCATGCCACAAATTTGGGTAAGGCGTGCCAACCGGAACAATAAACAGCTCGCCAGATGTGCCGCGACCAATGGGGAACTGATCTTCCGGGTCCAATACATTGATCCACTCGGCGCTGTGAAATGCACCGAACTCGGAGCACAACGCAGTAGCAGCACCTTCAAAGTCTTGAGGTCGAACATGGATCTTTCCGAAACCGAGGCAAGCCCCCGAAAGTGTCCTTGGACCTCTGCACTGCCTTCGGCTCCAGGGCAACAGCCGGTTTGCAAACTGCGGGCGAGGCGCAGGTCTCCAAGCAAGTCTGCTCACAGCTTCCGCCGGTGCTAGAAGCGCATCATCATCACCCCCGGTCACCAGCCCCACAATGCGGGCGACATTGTAGAGCACGTCTTCCGCCGACACATCCCAAACCTGCTGATCTAAGCAGTCATCCCACGGTGCTGCTACAAGTAGTGCAAATGAGAGGAGGTAGAGCTCCAGAGCTCTTGCCCATTGCCTCTGAATTAAGCAAGCCTGTGCAATGGCGATGTTCATTGCCACATCGCCAGCTGCACAATTCGTCTTCGACAGGGTCCCCACCAAGCTGGACAGTGCCAGAAACATCTCCTCAGAATCGACACACGACTGCGTCACAGACAAATGGTGTGCTTGCTGATTCGGGTCCACAAGTGACTCCAAGAAAAGTGGGTGATGCAGCCAGAGCCGTTTGACATTGTCGCGGGCAGCAAGAAGCATGTCGTAACCTTGGCCTGCGCATGAACATATCTCATATTGCCCACCCCGAGCCAAATCTATCGAATGACGTAGCCGCCGCCAAGCTCGAGCTTCCTGCTTTGCGAGCCACTTCGTTGCTGGAGTTGGCACAAGTTCTGGCGGAAGTCCCCGTGCTAGTGACCTGCTGTCGCGTAAGGTCACGCGGGCAGCATAATGAACCAGCAGCTTGGCAATGGCTGGCAAGAGCTTTTCAGACAAATCAACAGATTTTTGCAAGGGTTTGCATAACCTCTTCAAGTAGTTGGTGGCACGTTGATGGACAGCAAGCATCTTGTGACGCGGTAAACCGCTCCGCCTTCCATTGGCGCGAGGTCGACGAGCGGAACATGTGCCACCATGGCAAATGAGTCTCACCGCATAAGCGGGCGAAGGCGGCAACCAGGATTTGCGAAACTGATCCAGCTCGTGCCGGAGTTCGGCGGTTGGAACCAGGCAGCATCTTTCAAACGAAAACCTCTCATCGAAACAGTGGCGGTGCTGCCCGTAGCAGCAAGTCGCAAATGAATAGCCATCGGACCAGCACCCGGTATCCCGCTGCATACTGAAGTGCATGAGTCCTTAATCCTTATCGAACTTTGAACTCCTTGTTTTCGTTCACGAGATCTATTCACCCCGGCTGAGGCTGCGGAATGCCCGAACCAAACCTATGATTACGTCCGCTCATGTCGATGCATGCCGAACCGTGCATAAGGCAAATGAGAGACGGCTTTGTTTTGGTGTTGATAAGTTGACGATTTATGAGGCCCGAGCACGGGAAGAGTGCGCTCGCCCAGCCAGGCTGGTCCTGCTAAGGGCACCACCCCACTGCAGGCGAAAGGGCGCACTCTTCTGCTTGCATCCGCTTGCGGTATCCGCGGCACACAGTGGCACTTCGGTGGCAAACATGAAGCGCAGTTCCGCATTGACTTTCATTGGGTCAAAACTGATAGCAAGCAGTTTTGAGTTCCTTGACGCTTCTTGGCCTGACGTACGGATACTCTCAAACCGCCGTAAACGGCCCTTCCACATACAACACAAAACCATCAAGCTGGGCTGCAGGACGTGCTCGAGAGAGGAAGCAAAACGGCATAAGATGATGAGTCAGAGTCAGCTACGCTGCCACCTCCTACCCCAGATACTGGTGGTGACGGCTGCGCATCCTGCGTCATGGCTATTTGTGCATCGTCATCGTCGCTGCCATCCATCCATATCCTTGCATGGTCTGTGTGGGCAAGGTTGCATGCCAAAGCTAGCCACGCCCGGTAGGGCTGCGACAAAGCAGTTGAGCCAGGAAGAACTCTGTACTTGACCTGCTTTCGTGACAAGCAACATGTGATCTCAAACAGCCAGTTGGAGCCTGCAACCTTGTGCTGTAGAGTTGTCCGGACTGCCATGCTTCTGGTGGCACCAAAACCTTGGCTGTTGGGAAACAAACAAGGCCTGCTGATGCCGTGCACTGGCATAGGCATGGACCCTCATCATCTGTGAACCCTCGAGAGCGGCAAAGCCGGCGGGAAGATACTTATCCAGGATGAAGTCCAGCCTGCCATTAAGAGGAGGCGCATTTTGCTTTGTTGCAGCTGCACGGGGCCTCAAATCTGTGCCCTCTACATGTACATCAAGAATCTGAAGGCACCTTAGGACATCCGTGCAGGCTGCCAACTGATGCTAAGTCGTCTGAACGCCTTTGGGTCCCAGCTCATTGATGTGCAAGCAAATCTCAGGCGCAGCCTCTTCGATCGGTGCTCGGTGCGTGCGTGCGTGCGTGGGTGTGTGTGTGTGGGGCTTGACAGGAACCGGACTGGGTCCAAAGCACAACCCAGCAGAATATTTGATTCAAGTTTTGCGCACAACGTCCATTTCAATCTGCGGCGCACCTCTTCTCCAACCAGCACCAGCACACAGTGCGCACTCAAGCTGTGCGCCTCACATGCAGTGCGCTTGCGCAACCTCTCACTTGCGCACAGGCAGCTGCAGCACCATGCTTCTCCGGCCTCGAAATCCAGGATGAAGGTCAGCGCCTCAGCCGCTGTTCGCGCGGAGATTGAAGCTTAAGCCCCGCGGTGCCTGCACTTTTAAGGACTACGCGCACTTCTCCACCGTGACAGGCTCAAGAACATGAGGCGGAGATAAGGCGCTTGTCCTCGCAACATGCTCGACTATGCCAGAAAGAGACCGCTTCATAGCTTCGCGGATTCACCAACGGGTGGGATACGTTTGCACGTTCTGGGCATTGGGCTGGCCGCCAGTGCTCTCTGGCATCCTGCAAAAAAATTCAAGTAGGGTATACAGGCCGGCGTGCCCGTCATCGTTTGCTGCAGCACTGCCTCTGCTGGAGAATGTTGCAGCGAGAGAGGGGTGCGCAACCATTAAGGTGCCTCTTGACTCTTCACCTTTGATCACTCTGGCCTTAACGGCTGCTGATGCCAGCAAAGGAAGAGGGGCAGAACAATCTGCCACAGGTTCGGCATGCGTTTTACTCGATACAGCGCTTTGATGAGCTTTGGAACCATTCTTTTCCATCCATGCTCCGCTTCGTCTTCGCGAATTAAGAACCGAATGTGGAGCAAAATGTTGGGGAGCTCAAGGACAAATTGAACAGTCTAGAGCAGATACATTCCGAGATTGCCGAAGGAAGTGCAGACACAGGCGCAGGAACATCGTGCTCCAATTGCATGCACACCGCGAGACTCTTCTCACGTCATAAAAAACAAAGTGAGACTGCATCTGCCCGAGAGCTGTTTTCCCGACTGCCAACAGCTATGCACCAGCTCGAGTTTCCGGTGGTCCAATATGGGGGTTGCTGTTGGCGCGAAGCCACTTGACCCAGTCGTCCGACCTGAGACCAAGCCAAGCTTGGAATCCGGATGCTCATTGAACATTTTGTGACTTAGCAACGTCTTTAACCTCGGTGCTCTGCACTGATGTGGGCGGTTCTCTCGAACTACGGAATGTGCACCTTCCCGGGGCAGCAATGCAGCACGAGTTCAGTTTTTGCCGCAACAAACAGCGTGGGCAAGGTTCAAGCAGTGCTTTCCTCGCGAGCATGCGAGACAGACCAGGAACACGTTTTCGATGTCAACCGCAATGGAAGAAACTCCACCGCGAAACGCGTCGGCCTCACCTTCTTGAAAACAAGTCTGTTCTCAAGGATCTTGGATCTCGAAGATGGGTCGCAGGTGTTTCGTTTTAGTTTCCCAGGAAGCTCGGCGCAACGAAACGGACCCGCGGAAGGCGCTAATTGCAATGGACCACAAAGAATACGACCAAAAACCAGAGCCTCCCTCGTATCGAGACATTTCTCTCGTGTATCTGCATCGGCAGGTACGAGTAACTTCAATACTTCGCTCTATACGTCCCCTGCAGCTCTTCGCCCCGAGAGCCAACTGACTTGATCAACAACCAGTCTGAGGGAAAGGGAAGTCTCCTTCTAAGAGGAGAGGTCTGTCAAAGTAAGACCAGCTCATGGCATTTATGCTAGTTAGGTGCGCCGCTTGTCCTTCTGACCGGCCTGACCAACTGCTCCAGCCCATTAGGGGCTAATCGCTACTTCCGCTTGAACGCTGCTGGACGTTGCCGATGTTGCACGTAAGTGTAGCCCACACGACGGCAATTGGGACAGCCACGGGTTTGAGAACAGAGCCACTTACGTGAATCACATCGTGCAGGCACCGTTTAGTGAACGCATGTGATTGCCAACATTTTTCACCTGAGAGTTATCACAATTTCTCTCCCAGAAACTCCCCTTCCACAGCACCTTTCGCAGCCCAATCTGTCGTGCGCAACGCCAAAAGTACATGTGAAACACACCAAAACAGTCGGGCGATCTATGCAAGCTATTGCAAGCTGTGACAGGGCCAAGCCATGTCGGTTTCGATGGAACCTGCTCTACAAGTGCCGTCGAATCAGGCCGTGCGCTCATGATGCTGCTAAGCAACATCAGGAAAAATCTTTGGCTCTGCTGTCACAGGCATCGGGAGCACCATCATGAACTTCCACCAAGAAAATCTGATGTGTAGCTTTAGGGAAACATTCACCATGGACCATGACCATACACATAACCACAAGCTTTTTTCTTCCCCCCTAGCCTGAAAACTCTCCGTGATTTTTGATACCGATCACAACATACGTTTGCAAGACAGAACGAACAAGAGACTCCCTGTCCTCTTTCAACCCATGGACCTCATGCCTTCATTCCTTGCTAGACTACGCACTGGATGCGCTGGCAAGCTAAAACCGGTCAACCTGACAAGTCTGTCAATCGACAAGTCAGTGCAGATTCGGCTTAGTTGACTTGATTGATGCTGCTTACAGGCTGCACACACGCTTCAAAAACAAGGATTGTCGTTGCAAGGAGTGGCGGTGCCAATGCACCAAGCGTTGCCTTGTCACAATTTCCAACTTCAGGCTCTCAAACGAATGACCCACGGGGCATCGTGTCTTGAATGAAGTCTTGGAAGCGGTCAACGCGCAGTAGCAGACCACGCCTCCTATCCTCCACCCAAACCTCAACCTCACAGAAACGGACTGTGGCTACAGCTGAGCTGACTGTAGACCGACGGTGTTGAGAACTTGGCGATCCAATGATCATGGCATGAACTCCACTGTCGCAGGATGCCACATGTCGGAGTTTCGAAGGTGTCGAGGACTTCCACCTTTTCACAAAGCCATGCATGCTGCCACACACTGGACCGTGAAACTCTAGAGTTCAAGTGAGCCAACAAAGCCCAACCCAGCAGAGCGCACCAACTTGTTCAGAGACTGATCAAGCATCCACGAACGAAGCTCCTGGCGTTGTCTGCAACGTGCAACACTGCTCATGCTTGCACATTCGATCGGTGATGGTACTTGTTTCCTTGATCATTGGAGCAGCTTTTGCATAGGTGATCTGCTGACCTGGGTTGCTCGATCGGGGGCCGGATCCGTCAGAACTGCCCAGCTTTTCGATACCGAAAGGTGGTAAGGCTGTAGCCACTGTTGCGCGTGCTGTTTTGAAGCTGCGAAGTTGTGGGGAGCTTCTTGTTATGGTCCTGACAAATCAACGGCTGCAACACAGTTGGGCATCACTTTGTCCGCATGTGTCACTCCAGGTAGTCGCACAACGTGCCATAGCTGTTCAGTACCTGAATCACATGCAATGTCAAGCAATCGTGTAGCCTGCCCCAAGCAGACAGGCAAGCGCGCCTCGCTGGCCGAAGCATCTGGCGGGTGCACTAGATGTATCCGCCCTGACCACATCGTTCGTAGGGGCATCAAAATCTGCCGCACCACCCCGGCCCCAAGACACCTAGAGAACGTTCCTCTGCTGTTGGCAAAGCCTGCATCCAAACAAGACCCAGAAGGCGAACGTCTCGACTGTACGAGTTCGAGTGCCGCCTCTCCGTCAGGAGGAGCTTGCCGTCTTCCTCAGCATCGCGGCAAAGCCAAAGTGATGTCAACTCCAGAGCCCTATTGATGCGGATACTGCATGGCGAAGGCGAAACTTCAGCAATTCAAGGCCCCGTCTCCATGAGTCGTTGTTTCGCAAAAGCGCCCGATCAATCTCATTCCGCCAGTGCCTGGAAATTGGAGTGTTTTCGCAGTGCATATGGATGGAATGTGCTGCTGCGGCCGTTTAACCTCTAAGCTCCCTTCAAGCCGTCTCTGCTCTTTGCATCCATGCCCGCTTCATCATGCATGCCACACACTGTCTTTTCAGAATTGCTTCGCAAAATTGCTTGAAGGGCCCGTGCGCATCATCGCATTCAAAGCCAAGCTTCACCTGTCAAACATGCAACTGGACTTCGTGAACTGCATGTGGTGGAACAGTTTCGGAAGCTAAGGACAAAACGATGGTGTCGTTGCTCTGCATCATTTGCCCCACTGCTTCCTCCGTCGGCCTTGGCAGCGATTCAACTCGGAGGAAACCATGAAGAAGTCGTCTGCTTGAAGTCTTAGTCATAGTCAGACATGCCGGATCATGCTGGCATATGCTGGGAATCGGCACCTAGACTAAGACTAACTTTCCCGCAAACCAGCGTGAGCATGATAGATCTGTGCTCCCCCAAGCCCTAGTCCACCGAGGAGAACAGGCTGCCAGCTCAAGAGAGCAAGTTCAGTCCGTGCCTTCCGAAGAACTGTCCCATCTGCTTCTGATGAGAGAAGCGCAAGCATTCAATCTTGCTGCTGAGATTGTCCTGATTACAAGACGTGCGGTGAGCCTTAAGATTAAGCCTGAAACCTAAGTCTCGCTCAATGCATGCGCCTTGATGGCTAAAGCAAGCTCGCGGACGGCATTGGAGTCAAGCCAGTTGCTCCTGGCAGAAACTTGTGGCCATGTGGAACGAAGTGCAAGCTGAGATGGCGCACTCAAGGTTCAGCGTCTTGAGCGACGAGTTGGCACGTAGAGCATTGGCCAGCTGAACTCCGGATGCCTGCGGTCGTAACATGTTTTAACTTTCACCAGCAGTGCCAGACTGAAGGTGCTTACTCTGGACATGCTAAAGCTGCTGAAGTCACCGCAAGCGGTCAGTTTTGGTGGGCTCGAAGGAAGGGCGGTCGAGTTTGTGAATCTGCCTCACGCTTGGGTCGCCCCAGTGCGTGTCTCGCACAATTATCAACCGTCAAACTCGTGCTTTTCGTCGTTTTGGAGACTTTGAAGCTAGCTGTTCTCGGTCGGACGCACCAACATTTGCAGCCAGTCCCCGGCCCAAAAAGAGCATAGATCTGTCACTGTGGAAGCAACCATGCGTCGTTTTGATGCGATTCTCGACTTCTGTCCACATTTGCTATACGACTTGCCCATGTCAACGGGCTCGCGCTCGCCGGGTCACTTGTCTTGCGCGGCATAGATTTCCTTGCGTCGAGGCCTTGATATAAAACCACACACAGGCACTGCTGATTGACAAAAGCCACCTATAATGCCGAAAGCCGAAGCTGCAGGATCCGGTAGAAGGCGCATTATGGCACAGTAGAACGCTGAGCTGAGCCTTCGCAGCATCTTTCCGGACCGGTACGGGTCGTGGCTCGGTTAGTGATAACTTGCCAGAGTCAGCCGTTCGGATCTCCGGTCTCGATTTCTCGCAGGAATGAAGGTGGCACCCGCTTCGGAGGTGTCGCATAGGCCGGCCATCGCATCAAGGAACGGAGCCTTGGGCCACATCGTTCGCCTAAAGCCATGGAGATCTTGTCGGGTGGCGGCCCGTTCAACACCTTGGCCCTGACGAGCTTAAATTAAATGAGGAACTTGTTAAAAAATTCTCTTTGAGACGGAACTGTTGCAAACAGGTCTTGGAGCTTTATGCAATCACAGATTTCATCACGGCGTTGCACGGCTGTGATCATCAAGCTTCGGCAGGGTTGTTTCTTGCTTATGAACCTATGAACCGTCAGGCAGTCCTTGAGCAAGTTGGAGTTGGAAAGCGTCAGCTTCTCCAGGTGCGTGTTCCTGCATCGCGAAGACTAGCTGAATAATTATCTACGCAACTATAGCTCCGGGGCCATTGCAAACTCAAAGCAATAACTCAAGTCACAAAATTACTTTCTGCCGACCTCTTCTCTTCTGTTTCTTTCCTCTTTTCAACTAGCTCTTTGCCACTTCAACCCAACTGACCACATTATCCCGCACAATACAACCCAAAGACTCACAGTCGTTGGGTCTCCCATGGTCCCTTACTCTCTCCGCAAACGAAGTTGTTCGTCGCACCCAGCTTCCCTCAACTGCAACGGCGAATTGGACAAATATTGTTCCGCAACAGAGCTTACTTGCAAGCGCAAGACGAGGTGGCGGGTCAACCACACCGTCAGCAACCAGCAGCTCAGGTGTGCCTCTTGTTTTTGTAGAACACGGAATGGGTCACCTCCAATTACCACCAACCGAACCTCACAAGATGGCCCCACAAGGCTAGTGAAAGTTTCGGCGTCCTCCGAGTGTTCGTCGTGCTCACGCCAACTTACGTGATACTTAAAGCAACGGTGTAGCAACGAGCATGTTCCGGGTTATCGGTACCTTCCTTCCTCGTCACCATGCCTTCTTTGGCCTGTGCCCCCTGTCGAGAACCGGGTGACACGCGAACACACAGCAGTTAGGTCCAAGATTGGGTCCGCCAGTGTCATGCTTGAACTCGTCCCTAGGCCCTAGTCACTTTTGCTTTCGGTGGCAGCCAACACCCTTGGCTTCCTCGCCAGCACGGCCTGCGGCTTGGTGTCGCATACAGATGGGGGCTCCGCCCTTCGGCTCGCATAGATCACAGCAAAAGGTGTGCCCCGGAACAAAGAGGCAGCAGAAAGGAGAGAAGTTCGGAAGGCTCCTGCGGCCCGTCTTTAAAGAGTTTGACTAGCTATAGGTGTTGTTGGGCCAACGAAAACAGCTGAAGGTGCAAAAGGATGTGACGAAACAACCCACCACAGGAAGTACAATATATACAGTTCCGTCGCAAGGTTGGGTTGTAGATGATACTTGTTTCACGAATTGCGGAAAAGGGAAAGCAAATCTTTGAAGGATATAAGCACAGCGCTTCATTCACTTATAAGCAACAAAAACCTGTTCGGATCCGTAAGATTTGGGGCACCTTTACAGCATGTCCCGGACTGTAGGGCACGTGTGGCACTTTCGACTTTGCCTGAGCCACGCAAGTGCTTTCCTTTGTTTCGCTTCTGCGTGCGTTGCTTCTTTCCCTCGGCTTGGGATGGTGTTTGCTTGCAAGGGGTATGGGGTGAACCCTTACAGTAAGCCTACCCCCGCGGTCAGCACGTCAGCACAGCCTCTGGCCCGATTCGGTGTGGACATGCCGTTTCTTTGCTTGTGACTGGCTTGCACGCCCCCGAATCCCCCACACACCGACAAGCACCCAAGTCCGTGCGCCAATCTCGGGACTCTCAAAACGCTTAAACAAAGCGTTCGAACCCGCCTATCAGCTCCCTGCGGCGGTTTCGACACACTGCGTTCTCCGAAAAGCAAGCTCCGTTCCCCCGTTCCGGCATGTGATAAAAAGCGGACTCACCTGCCTCCCCACACCGAACAGAAGCCTCGCGGCACAACCTGGGCGCCCATCCCACCCTGAAGCCCTCTGTGGTACTCCACGCTGCGTGAGCTCTCCATAACCCCCCAGCCGGTCTTCGACGGATATCGGCAGGTGACACGGGGGCCATTGCAGAAAATGCGGTGAGCATGCTGCGGACGTGTGGGAGGAGCTTCAGCAACTGCAGGCTATGCTTGAAGAGGGGCTTCGGCTCCGTACTACAGTTTCTACAGTCTACAGTAGTGCGAAGCAACGATTGTCGCCGCCTCCATGAGAGGGCTGGGACTGGGAGAGCCGCCCTTCGGTGGGCCCTGCAGATGTCAGCTAGTTTCCGCGGGAGAAGGGCAACGGACTCGGGGACCAGTTTGGGGGCTACCCCACCGCAAGGTGGCTGGTGGAGGCGCAGACTGCGACAAGCCTTGGGGGGGGGAACCGAAGCATGGACAGCGGTGGGCAGCAGCAGCCTTGAACTTGCTGGTCCGCTGGAGTGGTATGTTGTGGTGATGGTGTCAAGCTCCCAATCCCAATCTGACGCCGCCGGGGGCTGCAGCCCCGTTCTGGTCGCGGGAGCGCTCGAAGTGCATCCTCACGGCTGGGGGAGGCTTGTTTCGCACCCTCGAGCTGTCGCCATGTCCCCTCGGTCGGAAGTGCTGCTGGGCAGCTGTAGTTGCAGCAAGGGCATACAGTTGAGACTGTGAAGCTTCTGCAGCTTCTGCATGTTGCTTGCAGCTTGAGGGTCTGAGCTGTCAGCAACGAAACCCTGCAGTGCTCCAGGAACTAAAAGCAACTTTCTTTGCTTCAGCACTGTCAAGAGAGCACGGGCAGCCCTCGCACCCTCCGCGCGTGTTTGCGCCCGGTTCTGGTCTTGTTTGGTGAGACGCTGAACTTCGAAGAAGATGAATTTCCCAAGGCACCGCAGGTGTTCTGGACCCCAAGAACCTAGAATCTAGACCCCCGACAGGCGCTGCAACTCTTTCGGTTGCAGTGCTCGGCCCTCTGGGGTCCTTGAAGGAAACAGGGCGTTTCTCATAACTGGGAGAAAAACATCGGAAAAACAAGTGCTCAACCCGCGGCAACCCTGAGACCCCTGATTTGCCTGCCTCACACTCGAACTCGGCAGGTCAACTTCGAGTCAATCACTCAAAACCCTTCCGCCAATCGAACACTGTTCTACTCCTCTTGTTATCTCAGGCTTAGAGGGCGAGTGAAGCCCCCTTGGCGCTAGGCCCGCCCGCGTTGGGATTTTTGACGGGAGTGAAAGTTTTGGATGAGTTGAAGACTGAAACGGCAGAGAATATGAATATCAAATATGTGTTTCAGCATGTTTCAGCCTAGCTCATCCACTGCAGACACTCCAGACATGGCTTGTAGCTGATTCCCCGTTTTGAAGAAGCCACTGCAACAACCGTATCTACAGTATTTGTAGCGTTTCTTGGGGAATCTGGGCACTTCCCACATGCCTTCTACCTTGTTGCGTTTGCTTCCAGGCCGAGGTCCCCTATGCATGCAGATTTGAAGCAACTCGGTACAGCTAAGGCCACAGCCAAGGATGGAAGTCTGGGGCGGCTTTTCTACTTTGGTCTGCTTGGGGCCTAGGGCGCGGGCCGGCCTCCCGGCTTTCCTGCCTCCCTCCCTCCCTCCCTCCCATGTGGCCTTGCCATAGCTTCCATCAGCTTGGGAGCAATGCGTCTCTCGATGTGAGGCGGCGGCATGTGCCTCAGGGTTTTAAGCGAGTCCATAATTTACGAGGCCTGGCTCCGAAGCTTTGTGCAACTTTGATGAGCTGCATGTTGCCAAAGTTGAGGTCCGTCAAAGAGGGATCATCCAACCAGGCACGATGGACCTTTGCGAACGGAGCATTACGTATGACCGCCGAGACCCGAGGTCTATTGGGCAAGCACCATCCAGATCATCCAGTCACCGTAGGCCCTATGCAAAGCACGGATCCGCATCCATCGGAAAGCTTGCTAGACACTACCGGTCACCAGCCTTGTTTTGCACGGCTCGGGTAGCATGTCCTCAATCTCACGCACCTCTGCAAAGTCCAGCGGAACGCTTGATATACAGCTCACGAGGCGCACAACTTGCACGTTTCAACACGATTCGAGCTGGGGATGAAACGCAATCCACCCGCGTTGCAAAGTCCTGACCAAAAGAATGTTATGCATGCTGGCGGGTAACGCCTTTCGTAAACAGCGTGCGCAGCCAGAAGCAGCTGGGCCTCATTGATAGACATGGAAACGTCCTCGCATTGACTGTCCTCCTGAGCATCCACCTGGCTGAAGAGCAGGATTGCAGAAAATATGGACTTTTGAACGGACTTGCAAAGCGCCTTGAGCAAAATTTCTGCCACAGTGGCCTCAACTCGAGTCAAGTCGTTCCAAGCTTTCATACTCCTGCAAACCTGGACTGGAATTCTCTGTCTCGGGATTAATTAAGACAAACATTAACCCCCGGTCCTCTCTTTGCCGTCCACCCCATCCCACTCACTGCTGCATCCATTCCTGCCCTCCACGGTCTCATAAGTCTTTATCGTTTGGTTTCTGGCTTGCACTTGCCTTGTCTTCTAGTCGGAATGTTCCAAGGGATCCGGCAGTCCCTTGCTCGTCACCGCCTTCCACGGGCAATCTTTGATCACAGTCCCAGTCCCAGTTCGTTTTTGTTGGAGTTCGCTGGCTGATTATCTTCCTTTCCCGAGTGAGAGCTGCGCGCGAATGAGAACTGATTTGACGGGCTTCGGCTAGCCACAAGACGGGCTGCACATCCACTACGGACACAGACTTGTCCAGCTCGCACAATCCATGCAGCACGCTGCAGACAGCCCGGCTCTGGCACTCTGCGAGGTTCATGTGTATTCATCTGCTCATGTACGATCCCATATTTTTTGCGGAATGCAGAATCATTCATGCCCTTTGCTTCGCCCTTTGGCTGCAACATTACAAGTGCACAAAACACCCACAACAGCTTTGTCTTGTATTCCCGGCGCCACGGAGTAGGCACAAAGGCTCTTAGTTTCTGGTGTCGTTAACGTGTCAAATGTGTCAAGGAAGCACTCGGATCGCAGGGAGGGGAGGGGCGAATCACAGGGAAGAATGTGGAAGGGGGCTACTTGTATCTGCCACGTGACTGAAACTACATGCTTGGACGGACGCGTCGGCGTCCAAGGAAAAGAGATGCAGCGAAGAGTGAGAGGGAGCAGTATGCTTGACTACCCTGCAAATCGGCGAACCCAAACTGAGGGACGCTCTTTGATGCAATATCTTGTGTCCTCAACAGCCAGCACCTCAACGGTCAAGGAGTTGGACAACGATTGACCAATTCCGGCCGAAGGGAGCTGACTGGAGTGCCAGTAATGACACCGGTTTCTGGATGTAGTGCGAGACCTGCTGAAACAACATGAAACAACCCAACTGTTGCATGAACCACGCACGAACATGTTGTCTGCCTTGGGGAAGAGCAGGGTGCACTTCGAGTGTGCCTCAGTGAAACCGCACGAAACGATTGGTGCTAGATGTCGTTGGGCACCGGCCTGCCGTCCGGAGGCGCGGCCTGAAGTGGGCCTGTCTTCACATTCCACAGTTGACAGTCATGCTGCATGGTTATGTCGGGCCTGATTGCCAACCTGCAGAGTCAGAACGTCCCTGCAGCAGACCGTCCGTCATTCGGGATGTGCAAGCGACAGTCCGTAAGCGGCGGGCGCTGCAGGGGCAGAGTCGACTGGCTGCGATGGTTTGGGATCCACAAGAAGCCTAGTGTCAGCAGCTTGGACCTGGCAGCAAGTCATCAAGACAGCACTGAGTGAAAGCGGTGTGCCAGCCTTGTTGGGGGCTTTCTGCTGGAGGTCATAAAACATAGAAAAGGTGTCCACAAGTCCAAGTTCTGGATGTTGGAAAGCCCTGTCAAGGATCTACAACTGTTCAGCATGCCGTCTGTCCCTCGTGCCAGCAAACTTCGTGAGCCTCGGGATTGTGCAGAGCGTTTGAAACCCACAACCAGCACACATGCCACGTGCTGAGCTGTTTGTTGCCACCACCTCGTCGGAATGTCTGCGCCATTGGAAATGTCGTGGAACGGCAAACAGGTGCCATGACAAGTTACAACTGAACTGCCAAGGAAACGGCCATGTTGATGAGCATGCCCGTGTATCCTGCCAGATGCGGCACCACCCGTACAACTTTGCACGTTCACAGCTCAAACCGTGAGTGACAAGAACATTCGCGTTCCCCCGCTTTGCAGTTGCAGGTTCGCCAATGGGACAACAGGGGTGAACTGAAAAAGTATAATTGGTGAACCAAAGACCCATGTCGCCAGTCCACGGCCTATCCCAACCTGTCATCATCCAACCTACCCTTGGCCTAACCTATTGGAAGCCAACCTAACCTACTGCCTTCAACCTGATGTAATCCTGCACCACTAGACCTCGACGCCAAATCCCAGACGCGGCCCAAACGTGAAACCTCGCGGCTCAAAGCCAACTCCCTCAGCATCACGGCTACTGCCTTTGACTAATTGCCACCTCGGTGTTGTTTTATGCGTTGTCACTGAGTGGATTGGGTGGTGGCTGGTGGTGGTGCCTGGTGGTGCTCTGAACGCGAGCGGCCAAAAAGCCTGCTCAAGACTGACATGCAAAACCGGAAGACGGAAGTGTACGGAAAGACAGATCTGGACGTCTGCTTTCATGCTCGAGTCGTCTTTCGCCGCGCGGTCGTGTAAGGAGTGCTCTTCTTCGAAGCGGGACCGGAGAGAAGGACGATGAAGGACGAGCTTGCGGCTTGCGGAGAAGAACGACTCAAAATCAGGCACCGCCAAATCCCCCAGCCCGGGCAGGCTAGTTCACTGAAGGGACCGTGGTCATGCTTTACTTAATGTACGTAGAAGTATACAAGAACATACGTACCCCCGTGTTCGGCGTCGCAGGTACGTACATACATACAAGCATGCAAGGTTGCGATATGATATATGGCAATGGTGTAAATCAGTTGTGTAAATCAGTTGCGCATACCAGAAAGTGCCGCACAACGACCCTCAAATGTACTGCGACGACTGGCCACCATCACATGCACGGCAGAGCTCGCGTCGAACAGTTTCGGCGACTGCCGGCTCCCAGATGATCAAGCCGAGGCTTCCACATAGTAAACAGGGTCAAACTTCGTCTGAGATGCAGGGAAAACCCCGTGTGGGAGAAAAACCCTGCATCCAGAACTCGGCTTTTTCGCAACATCGACAAGCAAAGGAACCTTGACACCAAGCAATCTTGACATTGGTAGCAGTTTTGACGTCTTCTGAATGCCCCAAGCACGGCAATAATGTTGAATGCCATTGAGATGGAATGTGTTTGCATTGCAGGGGCTGAGATGCTTGGCTTGCGTGACGTTGCTGCTATGATTAGTATGAAGAGGCTTCTCTCTGGGGGGGAACATGTGTACGCACGCATCTGCAAAATGGGGAACGCACGTATGTACGTCTGTACGTAAGTACACGTAGTAGATTGAGGTTTGGTACTGCAGTGTACCAGCGCACCTCTAGACCTATAACTGTCCTGAGGGGGCTGGTAAGGGCTGGTATATCATGCGTAAGAACGCAAGTAAGCGGGTATCGGTATGCATATACGATCGTATTATACTAGCGTATACGTACATACGTACGTCCTGCAAAAACAACACCTTAAACTGGCAGCCGACGTGTGTCGCTGCATGTGTACGCACGGGGAGTGTGGGAACGACGGATAACGTACACATCCCAGAAATTATAATAGAGATCATGTCGAGATTTGACACAGGGGACGTGGAGGCTACATGCTCGTCCCGGGCTGTATATGGCTGTATCTCAGGGTGGCATGTCGTGGGTACAGCAAGATCGCCCTCTGTAAAACAGGCCTCCCTCAAGTACTTTTAGATGCTTCATTTCCTTTTGCCCACGGCTGGCATTGACGGCCTCCCTGCAGGCACCCCCCCCAAGTACTTTCCTCTATGGCAGAAGTCTGGCCAGTTGCCTCGTCCGTCGCATGTGAGATAGGGTGTGGTCTTTAGAGATTCCAAAGGGCGGCAAACGCAGACGGTCCTCAAATCTTAGTGACCAACTTTTGCGCAAGCAAACCGATGCTTGATAAATACTAGCCAGCACACTCTTAGTTGTCGTGCGACCTGCCCGGCTAAGCAGGAATTGCCATCAGCAAAGGCCCAACCTCAAGACGAAACTGCAGAGCGCAGCGTAAAGAAGTCGAAGCGATCAGGGGTAACAACGCCCTCCGATGAATTGTGCGTGGGCCTAGTAACTAGTATAGGGTGTGACTGTGCCTTTGCTGAACCTCGTCCCAGTCCCGGCGGGGGACCCCATCTTCTGAACCACAACAGGAACTTGAACGGGCAGTGAAGATCTCAACTTCGAAAGACCACAATAAAGCCAGATCTGCTGGGGTTTCAACCGCAGCCCCAAATGTTCAGAAGCTGATGCATGTGTACGATGCGAATCGACAATTCGCCCAACCCATGGCATGACACCAGGGCGGAAAAAGAATCGTACGGATTCCAGTCTCAATGGCTATGCCGAGGCTCCACACTTATACCTGTGCTATTAGCCCCTGCCCAATATCTCTGTGTGTGTACTTGCACACGTACCCGTACGTGTTCATGTGGCTCTGTGTGTGTGTGCGCGTGCATCTGCATATAGGTGTATCTGTTTACGTGTGTACGCGGGCATGTGTATGTCGGTCTGTCTGTCTGTCTGCCTGCATGTAAGTATGTAGGTCTGCATATGAATGTATGGACATGGAAGCTGTTGTGACTTTGTGTGCTGGTGGATGGACGCGCTCGTCAGTGTGTGGAAGCTGTGGTGGCCTTCTGCGCTCGCGGATTGAAGCAATCATGGTTCGGGCATGGATCCTCCGGTGACCTTACGTGATGGTCTGGCAGCTGGCGCTCTACTTGGCCGGCGCTTTACCTGGAGTGCCACGTGCGCTAGCCTGCCTCCGGTACGACCATCACGCTGTAAAGTGTGGTCTGGCACAGTTCAGGGCACAACCCGGCGCGGCAGTGTACAGGTATGTCCGTATGCAAGTATGTATGCATTGTCTGTATGTATGCATGTACATACACCCTTCTTTTGAGGGGGCCAGAACTCCGGGCTGGTCAAGTCTCAAAAGAGCACTTCGCAGTGCGATTTTGTGAACTCATAATTCCAGCCAAAGAGCACTGGGCCCATCATCCCTCTTTCATAGTCGCCCGCTTTTACGCATCCATTGTCACTTGCTTCACCTTCATTTAATACCTTGAAGCACATGCTTCTGAAACCTCCGCATATTTTTACACCGTTTTGCAGCCACGCAGCTGTTGAGCTGTCAGATTGCTTACAAGGGTGTTGGGAAATCCGGCTAGACAAAGATGTAAGCAGCTGGGCCTTGCTGCCTTGCCATTGCCACTGAGTGAAGGCCTTACGGAAGCAGCAACTCATTGCCATTGCGGCCGTACCAAGTTGCATGCCTAAAGCATCTGTCTCCTCCATTCAACAGCCCTTGCGTTTTCTCTGCTGGCAGCTCGCCTGTCTCTTCTGTACTCCAGGGAGTGACCTTCTTCAAAGCGAAAGCAAAAGGGCGCAGCATTAAATTACCAAATTCACACCACTCATTCCGAGCCCACTGGATGCTGCGGCCTCGGCGATACGACTTCACAAGCCCATGTCATGCTGACAACTGTATGTGGCGTTTCATATTGCCACCAAATCCACGCTTAGGGCACGGACCGGTGGCAAACGAGCGGCCACGCATTTCATGGCAACCAGGCAGTCGTCGCATTCCTCGTCAGCCACAAAATCTTTGCAGGCAGTGGAAGAAGAGACTCGAAACTGCCAAGGCTTTCTTGGCAGGCAACGGTGTCGGCTTGATATTCGCCGCGTGTCGGAGGAGGTGGATTCTCCTTCGTGTTGAAAGGTGACAGCACGTCTGAAGATGAGATCCCTTTCAGTATGGCAGGTCCTTGTTGAAGGCCTCGTAGAAGCCTGAAAAGAGATCGAACATGTGTGCCTGATCCTTGACATAGAAGGAGCATGTGACAACCTCCTGGCAGCATGACAAGTCAGTGTGAAGCTGCTACAGAGTTTGCCAACAGAGCTCCTTGAGACTGACGTCTGCAGTTTTGAGCACGCGCTGCAACCCATCAAAGGCATCCGAGCCTGCAACCCACAAATCGACTCGGCATGTCTTGCATTTTGGCCCTGCTCCGGGACCCCCGACCTGATGAATTGCGCCCAAGCAACGCCGACGTAAAAACAAATCCTCAAAGACATGGCCATCTCAGGAAGACTCCGATGACATATGTCTTCATGCGCTGGCCGCTGAAGTTGAGGCATGTAATGCAGAAGTGGTCACGAACAGCCAGCGTGCCACAACTCGCAGCAACTAGTAGTAGACACATGTCTCAGCATGGGAAGGAACAACACAAACTCATCAGTGATCTGCAAGGAGCCACTGATATGTCTTGATGGCACAGATGTGGGACGGTTCCGGGGAGCAAATGCATCGTGGATGAGATGCTCTCGCACTGCAAGCAGGCGCCACCCCACAGACTCAGCAGCAAACTCTTGACATCTGCCGCATGTGCTGAAGAATGCAGCACAGCGGTCAGCAAAGGACGTGTGAAAGCATCATGAGCTCGAAGCATGGGGTCCGCGAACTCCGATAAGAGTGTTTCGTCGTTGAGGCTGTCTGTACTATTGGGTAGCAGCTACACACTACACTCGCTACACAGCCTGGCTTCGAGCCTGCATTTAGCAAGGTCGAAACGACTTCTGCGAGACAAGACTCTGTCGGTGATGGTGGCACCGTCGATAGACACTGGCGGCATCCTGCCCAACTGCGCATCGAAAAGAGAATGTCAGGGGTCAGAATGATGGTGTGTGTGTGTGTGTGTGTGTGTGTGTGTTTCTACACTGCTGAATATGACAGAATGAAACCGAAATCCTCGCGAATGCTGGATCTGACATCGTCCCGATGCAGCGGAGGAGTACGGATTTACCGTCGGGCAGCCCGCCAGCCTGCAAGGCCCAATGCGTGAAAGTGGTCTCATAAGTGCCATGAAGCCCCGCGTACAACATATGCGGCGGCCTGCACCAGCGTTGTGGCAGGTCGAACTACGGCGTCTGC